AAGAACCTCACTAAAAACAGTTAGTTGTGAGTAAAGGTTCCAATTTGCCTGATCAAATTGCCAGCGTGGGATACGAAGAGGTGGTGAATATGAAGGGGAAGTAAGAATGATTGGGAAATGATCGCTGTCATGTAAATCCGGGAGAACAGACCAGGTGAAGTCTAATGCTGCAGAGGAAGAGCAGACTGAGAGATCGATGCAAGAGAGAGTGTGAGTCCGAGGATCAAAATGGGTGTGAGTACCTGTATTTAAAACATGGAGGGGGTGGGTGGCAAGAAAAGCCTCTAACTGAATGCCACGGGAATCACAGTGAGATCCTCCCCCCCAGAGGAAATGATGGGCATTAAAATCGCCAAGTAACAGAATCGGTGGTGGTAATGACGAAACAAGAAAGGCAATATCCGGAATAGATAATGCCCGAGAAGAAGAGAGATATAAAGAACAGAGTGTATACCACCTATGCAAGTGGATACAGGCTGCTGTGTAATGCAGTGAAGTACAAATAGCTGATGGTACGGAATATCAGTGCGTAGAAGAATGGCACTTTCATTAAAGGTCCCATCAGGAAAAGGATCTGAAGAATACAATAAATTATAGCCTGAGGTGGGAGAGATAACAGTAGACTGTAATTTTGGTTCCTGTAAGCAAACACCAACAGGAAAAAACTGGGAGAGTAACATCTGAAGCTCACCCCAATTACCCCTGAGGCCGCGTATATTCCACTGTAAATAGGTCATGATTGGCAATGATAAAGATACTTGAAATTCGCAGGTAAGGGTTCCTACGGACTAGAGGGGTTAGAAAAGTCCACATGCGGAGGCAGCGGAAAACGTTCAAGCAGCGAAGGAACGGTGCACTGTGAAGAAAGGAGTTGCGCAGATGGAGGAGAGGAGAGAGAAGGAACAGAGGGTGGATCAGTGTCCATTGATGGTTTGGTTTCTGCAATATATTCAGAGATTGCTTCAAGTGTTTCGGAATTCAGAGACGTCTTATGGGAGACAATATTGGAGATGGTAGGGGGAGGATGAGTAAAGATTGGAACTGTAATGGACTGTACCAAGGTAGGGGGGGCGAAAGGGTGGAGGGAACTGGAGAAGAAGTGTGGAAGGGGACAGAAGAGGCAGAAACCTGGGAGGTGGCAGAAGAGGAAGAAACTTGGGAGGGAACAGAGGAGGTAGGTACAGTACGAGGAGGAGGGTGAACCTCTACACTTGTAACAGAGCCAGTGAGAGGGGAAAGAACCCGGTACAGAGACAGGGAAGGTAAATGAGGAGGTGGAAGAAGGGAAGGAGGGTTAAAGGACCTTTTTTGACTTTGAGTAAGTAGAGGGACGATTGGGAGGAGGTGTCGTACGAGGTCTCGTCGATACTGAGGCTTGTGAGGGAGAACACGAAGAAGCGAGAACAGACTGAGGCATTGAAGTAGGGACGTCTGAGCCTAGGACAGCAAAAGAATTAGATACAGGAGTGACTATGGGAGAGGTAACACAGGGAGGTTGCAGAAGATGGGACCCAGAAGTGGGGGGACGTTTTGAAACACGGGAATAAGAAACACGAGGTAGTCTCCCTTGGAGGCAGAGATGAGAAACTGCCATGGCATAAGGGAGACCTTCTGCCTCTTTGAGGTAACGGATTTCCCGCTCATTTAAGTAGGCTTGGCAACGGCGAGAGTACGAAGGGTGAGCTTCATGACAATTAAGGCAAGAGGGAGGTCAATTGCAAGATGTATTAGAATGGCCATCGGCACCACAGACTGGGCATTCGGCTATGGATTGCAATATTTCGCTGGATGGCCAAATCGCCAGCAATTTCTACACTGTTGCAGTGTAGGGATCACCTTTTGAACTTGTAACTGATATCCTGCTACATAAACTGAGGATGGGAGTTCACGGCTGTCAAAAGTTAAACGAGCCACATTGCTAGGGTATCGTCTCCACCCGCGGGCAGGAAGAACATAAGTGTCTACCTTGAGGATTGGGAGATCTTGGAGTTCCAGCTGTTCAAGAATGTCATTGCCACATGTCTGGAAATTTTGTTGAACTATGGTATGGGGCAGAATGACGGCACCACTACAAGAATTGAGGGAATGATGTTTTTCAATAGTGACAGGAACAGTATCTATATGGGAAAGAAGAGAAAGATCATGAGCTTGGGTAGCATTCTGTACCGTGATGATGCGTGTACTGCTCTTAAGAGCATGAAAAGAAATATCTTTACCAACATGGTATAGGAGTGCCTTGCCAATACTGTGGTAGGAAAGATAGGTGGTAGAGGAAGTCGGTAGTAAAGTGAAGAATTTAGTCCATTATGCAGTCCGAAACTGAGCGTGGAAAGGGAGTGCAGGACGTGTCGATCTTTTCTGAGAAGAACGAGAAGGTGGAGAAGTATCATCAGCAGGTAATTGTCGTTGGCGTTTAGGCATGGGGGCCAGAGTTGGTCCGATGTGGAATGGGCCGGTGATTCGAAAATTGCCGCACCGTAGAGGGAGAGGCCGGAAGCATAGTCAAAGGAGAGCGTAGGTCAGATAAATCAAAGGAGTCAGTCGAAACCTCAGCACCTGAAGCGGGTGAGGAAACAGCACCGGCAAGAGGTACAGAGGCATGAGGAGTGTCCGAAGAGTGGTCCAAAGACGAGGCGGGGTCAGAACGGGGTGCGGTATCAATAAGGGGCCCGGGGGTACCAGGTTCATGGATTGGGTTCTCCATGGTTAGGTTACTTCTTTCTTTTTGTTTTTAAGAAAAAAAAGAAAGAAGAAAAGAAAATAAAAATAAAAAAAGAATAAAAAAAAGGGGGGAATCGGGGAGGGATAGTTCCTAGGAAGAATGAAAGGGCCAGAAATCTCCCTCCGTGCCCAAGAGGACCTCAGCACCGCAAGTAGCGTAGATGCAGCATGGAACCCGTGCCATACCCTACCCATCATGCCAGTAAACCAGCAATCCGGGATAGCAACCTCACATCTGCCGAGCTACCTCGGTGGACAAAAGAGAGGGCGGCCGGAAATCCACCACAAAGCATACCTCCTTCGGCCACCACCCCCGGAATTCGAAAGGTGGCTTCCAGAGATACACCAAAAAAGTATCCAAAACAGTTGTGATCCTCTCCAAGATACGATACTACGTGCCGCAAAATGCCCTTCTCACACTATACCACTCACTTATTTATCCATACCTCACCTATGCTATTTGTGCTTGGGGATCAACTGCAGCAACACACCTAAAGCCAATAATAACCCAACAAAAAGCTGCAGTAAGAATAATCACTAAATCCCATCCCTGGCAACACACCCCCCCACTCTTCATAGACCTAAACTTACTCCCAGTTCAGTACATCCACACTTACTACTGTGCAATCTATATCTACAGGGCCTTAAACTCTAATATCAACCTTGACCTAAAACGCTTTCTTGATAGATGTGACAGAACCCACAGGCATAACACCAGACACAAACATCTCTACGACATTCCCCGTGTCCGACTAAACCTTTACAAAAATTCAATGTATGTCAAAGGCCCTAAAATCTGGAATACCCTACCTGAGAACTCTAGAACTGCAGACACATTCATCACCTTCAAAACTGCCATTAGAAAACATCTTATCTCCCTGATAGACCCCATCAGCTAACTACACGAATACCACCTGGTGGTTCACACTTACACTCACTCACCCATTTGACCATAAACAGAAATATTAATCTCAATCTTAAAATAATGAATCCTATGATACTCCAATACTGAAACTATGTACTGTGCCAAAACAAAAGCATTCACATTGCTAAACTCACAAACTAGTGTTGTTAGGTAAGATGCCAAGATGCCACGTGGCATCTTGGTACAGAAAACACCTTGGACAAGCTTTTCAAGTGAGAAGTGTTGGATCTGAGAGGGACATGACCTCTCAGTGGCCTCTCACTACTACTACTACTACTACCCTGCACCTCTCCTTCCGACAGTATTTAAGTCTCCGCACTGTCACTTGATCTTCAGATAGTTCCTGACTATGGAACTGAACTTCTCCAGGCCGAGGGACTGACAACCTCAAATTCTACGACTTTAAGGGTGATGGACTGATTACATCGTCTTCACATCTCTACTGTTCCTGCCTACTTTCTGTATTCGACTGAAGAAGCCTACTGTGTAGGCGAAACGTTTCGGAATAAAGTTGTCTAGCTGTTGCATATGTGTCTTACCTAACAACCTGTCGGTATTGTATACCATCACAAACTAGTATTTAGTCACTTAGCCATAATACCAACTTACCTCATAATTTGTAATATTTTACAATTAAGAATAAAACTAAGTCTGCCCGAAATGCCTAGCCATGCTAGGTGTTCTAGTGGTACACTCTGTAATCACAATTTTACTACATGTAAACCACACAATAACCAAATTTCTTAAACTCAGCATTGTAATCCTTATAGAGAATAAACTTTGAAAGACACCCAAAGCCACCCTCCGGGATACCAGAAAGTGATCGGGACATCCCCAGGCGATCCAGATTCCACGGCAAACTACGCCATCGCCAAGAACCTCAACGGAATGGGATGGACCCCGGTACCCTTTCCCCTACCTAGGAACTAGCGCGCCTGTAGGAAAAATCCCAAAGGCCAAAAAGAGGAAGGGCAAAAGGGAGGGGTGGGGAGGGGGAGGAGGAAAGGGAAAAGGGGAGGATGGGATAGGGAAGGGGGGATTGGGGGGGTAATTAGGTTCGGTCTGAGGAAGGAGACCGACAGGTCTAATTCCTCAGACCAAGAGCCTCTTCACCACGCCAAGGAGCCCCCCTTGAAGAGGTAGTAGCAGTAAGTAGGTACCTGGGAGAATGGACTTATGGGTGGATCGCAGCGCTGTATAGCCCTTGTGGCTTAGCGCTTCTTTATTTTTTTATAATTTTATTTATAATTTGAGCACACTTGATTATAATAATAATAATGTGGGTGGATCGTAGTAGCAGTAAGTAGGTGCCTGAGAGAGTGGACTTGTGGGTGGATCCTAGTAGCAGTAAGTAGGTACCTGGGAGAGTGGACTGTTGTGGGTGGATCCTGGTAGCATTAAGTAGGTACCTGGGAGAGTGGACTTGTTGGTGGATCCTAGTAGCAGTAAGTAGGTACCTGAGAGAGTGGAGTTGTGGGTAGATCCTGGATAATTATTAATATGGGGAGCGATAAACCTGTAGGGATTATACAGCGCCTGTGGGAACAGGATGGAAGGTATATTGCCCGACATGCTTTATTCGTTAACAATATTTTATTACATGTAAAACACACATTGTATACTACACAAAGAAAATAACATGAATTTGAATTCAGGCTTAATTCAAGGAATTGAAGCCCAGCTCCAGTTCCCAAGATCAAGAGCCCCTGACCAGCACCCCTTCAGGGGTCTAGGGAAGCACCTGAAATAATTTACAATGTCTTAAAAAGGTTATGAGCCCAAAACTCACTTCATTATCATTATTACTAATACAAGGCATAAGTATTTATAATTTAGCCAGGTATGTAGACTCAGTCCAAAAGGACAGTGGCTCTGACTCCTAGGATGAAGAGCCCTTCACCATCGACACCCCATTGAAGGGTTACCATGGTGATTCTAGTGTATATGTATACAGCAGCAGGTGTCTAAGTTTATTTAAGTACATGTACATGTAAGTACAATCATCATACATAGTAACTTATGTGTAAATTACCCACCAGGGAACCCCCCCCCCCCAAAAAAAAAGTGACTTATTTCCATTGGGTTCCATATAATATCTTATTATTACAAGTGTAGCTGCAAGATACAGTAGAAATTAAGTTATGTTTATAACCTTAAAAAAATAAAACAGTTAAGTAACTCAACTGTGTGAAAATAAATACAGTAAAGGGATAAAGGGAGATACAATAGGAATACAATGTAAGTTTATTCAGGTATACACAAATACACTGACATAGATTATCATACATATGTGTAGAGAACCTGGGATAATCCATTGGTGTCCTTTAAGTGAGCCGAGTTATTTATATGATCCTCAAATAGCGAGGATCAGTTTACAATAATAGGTAGACCAATTTTCATACAGCACAATGCAATTTTATTTCTCTTCTACAGTATACAAAATGTAGTTTAGATGTAATAAATAATGTTAAGCAGACAAGAAACAAGCCAAAGACCCTAATGGAAATAAGTCACTTTGCCTGACTTTTTTGGGGGTTATCCTAGGTAATATACACATGTATTACAATGATAATTGTATTTATGTGTAACAAAAAAAACTTTCCAAGTGTCATAGTCTGAGATTATACTTGGTGAAAAATATTGCTTCTCAGCTGAGATTATTACCTTTCTATCACTTTTTTTTTTTCAGTTGTGTTAAAATTTTCCTCTTCTAACCATGATGTATAAAAAATTAGAGTCTGCCATTGGATATTTATGGTTTATCTTGGCTGTTAAAACAGTTTAATAAGACTGTTAACAGCACTCAGTGGTACAGTGATAAATATTCACTCTTTTTTTACAACAGCAAGAATAATAATAATAATAATATATACAGTACTGTATATATTGTATTTGATTTGAATTTTAGACCATGGCTATAGATTAAGTATTATATGTATATTTTTTAATCAGCTTTGGAAAACATTTTGCTGTAATTCTGATCTATATGACATAAGCTAAAATTTATGACCATTACTTGGTAGAACTCAGGCATTAGTTTACATTTTACAATGTATACAACCTGTGTACAACATGGGATAAGTAATTATGTCTTGTACAAATTATAATTTTTGGAGATATTACCAGAAATACTACATTAATTTTGGTTGTGTAGTATGTCTGAGCCAATCACCTCTTAGTAACGAGCAGTGTCATGTGTCGGATGAATTTAATAAAAAAATCACCTGTAATGATTGCAGGGTAAGGTTAAGGTAGATTAGTTTAGATTGGGTTAGGTTAAGTTTTTATTGGTGTATTTAGTTAAAAATGCTAAACTTGTAAGGGTCATAAAGAGTCTGGGGAATGGGGAGCAATCAGGTCTGATCCAAGGAAGGTGAGGAAAAGTTTAATTTCTTGGATCAAGAGCTCTACACCAACATCAAGGAACCGCCCTTGAGGGGTACGTTTACCTAACACAATCTTCAGTTACACTGGTTTCAAATGGTCTCTTGTGAATATTTTTTAAAGATGCTTTGAGATCCACATTTCTTGCTGTGTTCCACCTCTGATTTATTGAGAGATTGAAAGTGAGATTGAGAGAGACTGAGATTGATTCATTCTGAAAAGTGTTAATAAATTTTGAACCAAGTGAAGGGCAAGTGTTTGGGAGACTACATTGTATATACAGTGGTACCTCGGGATACGAACAGCTCCCAACTTGAACAATTATGTAAGTGTATTTATGTAAGTGCTTTTGTAAGTATTTTTGGGGGTCTGAAATGGATTAATCTAATTTACATTATTCCTTATGGGAACAAATTCCTTCGGTATCAGCACTCGAACAGCCTTCTGGAACAAATTAAGTTCGTATCCCGAGGTACCACTAGTTTTAAGAGTTTTAACCTGGTGTAAATGACCATGGGGGACCATTAATTCACTGATACATAGAAAAAAAAATCATTTGTCAATAGGTAATATGTTTCAAAAAACTAACCATATGAGGCATAATGAAAAGTACAAGGGGTAAGTTTTTATTCAGGTATGGGTACGTACACATAAATACAGTTACATAAATTATCATACAAAGCAGCATATGAGTAGGTTACCTAGGATAACCCAAAAAGTCAGACAAGGTGACTTATTTCCATTGTATTATGTATATGCTAAGTGGGTTGTAGAGTAAACTAGGACATACATATATGAGTTATCTCTACTTATTGATACTAGTAACAAAAAGGTGTAATATATTGATAACAGTGGTAGAAAAGGAAATGAAACATAAGTGAATTAAAAAGGATGGCTAATGAGAAAAATGAGTTGGTGTTGGAAGGTTGACTGGTGAGAAAGTCATCAGGAGGATGTTAAAAAGGATTGTCTGGACTTAAGAATGTAGCATGAGTGTGTGCAAGAAAGGTTTGTGGTTGCAAGAGGAAAGAGAAATGACTGGGGGGATGATGAAGCAAAAATCTCAGTACATAATTAACCCGTAAACGGTCCAAGCAGATCTACGTTCACATGTGTAGTGCTATAAAAGTAGATCTACCTTTTTTTACATATTTTCAAATATAACAAAAAAAAAGTAGATCAAAGTTTTTACACATTTTCAAATGTAAAAAAACAAAAAGAAGATCTATACTTTTTTTACATACTTTCAGATGTTGAAAAAACGTATATGTACATTTGGACCGTTTACGGGTTAAAAAGCTGACTTTGTTAAATTTTTACAGTGTTAAAAAATAATACAAGGAAGACAAAATACAAATTGTTGTGCTGTATGTTTATAGAAAAGGTTAAATGAAAGGGCAAATGGAAGAATGGATGAGGCAATGTTAATAAGTGTCATTGAAGATAAGCGCCAGTTTTGGAGAGAGAGAAATAAAATGAGAAAACTAAGTTCTCAAATAAATATATGTCAGTAGTAAAAGTGTAGAGATGCTGGATAAAAAAGGAAATGTGTTTGAGAGATGGAGAGAATATTTTGAGAAATTTTGTTACATACAATGCAGGTATACAAATTTATTGAATTTATTTCATGTACCGAAGTGTTGGCCAGGATGATAAAGTTTTGCCCGCTGCTACAACATGACTGTGTGTGCATACTTAATGGATGTATTGGTTGGGGAATTTTGGTTAACACAGCCAGTTAACACCCCCCAGTGTACCAGAGATGCACTCTGCCCTATTGTTGGAGTCCAGGTAACACATAACATTGCCACTTGTATTAAAGTTAAAAAAAACTTTTAATTTGAAAATTTCTTTAGTTACTGATATGAAGTAATTTTTTTAGTATTCTTCCCTAGTGAATGTAACATAAGACTAAATTTGGACACTGAAAATGAAATACAAAAGTTTCGTATAGATGAAAGACCTAAAATAGACTGGAAGTACAGTATATTGTATTATTTGTTATACCCTCTGTTCTTCATTACAATTATTGTAGGACATACTTGCATAGGGGTTTACTATGAATATCAGATTTGAATGAAGATTAATATATTTTTTTATTTATAATTCCCAGTGTAAGAAAAGAAAAACTAAAGTGTTATTGTTTCTCAGACCATTGTGTTCTGAGCCCTCTGAAAAAACGTGTTATGGTGAGTGAGGGGGAAAGAGTTGAATGATGATGAAAGTATTTTTTTTTTGGGGGGGTTTTTTTTTTTTTTTGGGCACCCTGCCGGTGGGAGATGCCGATTTGTTAAAAAAAAAAAAAAAAAAAGACAATAGAAATTTTTTTTTACTTTTTTTAAAACAGATGCCCTTCCCCACGTTTACACAAAACTCCCTTACCCCAAAAGTTAACACTTCATTCGTATTTTGTGTACAAAAATAAATTTTGTATATTTCTTTATTTTCATTATCTGTTTTTACCGATATCAAATGGACCCCCTTCTGTACATCCCATTCCTCACATCAGGAGAAACAAGGATACTTTAATTTCTGCACGCACTGCAAGAGTTTGCCTCCGAAATGGAAATAGTATCTTGAAGGAGGCAAATTTGTATTCCGCGAGGGAAATCCTGTTTTTTTTTTACATCTCCCAATGAATTTGGGACAGTAAAACTGTTAAAATTCTAATATTAAATGGTCTTTTTGTTCCCCCTGCGTGTTTGGGAGGTGTGGGCTACTTGACGATCCGATCCCTCAAACTGCCCGCGCATGAGAGGAAAAAAACCCTGTTTATAAAGGGTAAAAAAGAACTGGTAGCTTGCCTCACAATCTCAATATCATTCAGGAGTCTGGGAGAAGATGTAGCACTTCACACTCAAGATATTACTCAAGTTGGGGATCATGAAAGAGAGAATCTTCCTGGAGTTATTCCTTCAGAGGAACTAACCAAGGGCAAAATGGTAAGGTCTATGGCTATCCATAAACATGTCTCACCAGAACAAGATAAAGAGGCAAGCATAACTAAAATTAAATTGTGTAAGACAATTAACCACATACAACATCCTGAAAACTCGGATATTATTTATGGTACAGCAAACAAATGCAGGACAGATAAAGAACAAGATGATAGACTTGAGCAGTCATTTACATTTGATCAGGACTCCAATGACTCTCTTTCCAAAAAGAACAGAGTACACAGTGAATGTTCAGAACTATTAGCTTTGAAAATTGCAGAATTTGAGAGCAATTTAACAGATAGTTCTGGTGACTGGAAAACTATGGTTACTAATCATAGAAGGGAATTTGAAACTCTGCAACCAGCACCAATTTTGTACTTCGGTCATAATGTAGAAGCTGAAAAGTTATGGAATGAGAAGATGAAAGCCGTTGGGGGATGTATTGTGCAGCTGGCAGACTCTGAACAGTACAGCTGGGAAGAGCCAGAAAATGTGGCTTCCCAGAAACCAAGGTCACCACAGTGTCGGCAGAGGAAAACCAATGATGCTAAATGTAATCAAACAGATTCATTGGTATTAGATGGCTCAGATAAAAAAACAACAAGGAAAATTAGTGATTCATTACTGGTTGGTCATTTTAATCCTAAGGTTCAGCAGATTAAGCTGCAGAAACCACTACAACATCCCAGTGGCTGGTTGCGCACAACTCCAGTTGTCATACCGAAGCAATGCAGTCACATTCCTTACCCTAAACTCAATCGGTCAGCTTTTCTCCGTAGAGCAAAACTTGATCCCCAGCTTGCACATCAGTTGCATGCAGAGATAAAGTATCAAGTGAAGCAAAGACTGAAATATGTGGATGAAAATTTTGAAGCAGAATTTATCAAACTTCGAGGAAGGAAACTTAGGAAAGGTCAAATATGTGGCAGGTTTACAGTTGGCTGCCAGACTGGAGAAACCTTGGGTGGTTATATGCAAAATGATAAAGAGCTTTCACAAAAATACGTATTTCATGACTCTACATATCTTATACATAAAGCTGAATATCATAAGGAAATGGAAGAAAATGAGAGAGATGAAAATCAACAAATACCTGAAGCTGTTCTTGAAAACAATCTAAAGAAGAATAATGACATGAAAAATGGCAGGGAGGGAGTAAGCCAACTGAATAGAAACTTAACATTTGATATGACTGAATATCAGTTAAGCAATAAAAATAATTCTAATGAGAAATATGAAGATGATTTTGAGCTGTCCACTGAGTCACAATCAAGCAGTTTATCTAATACAGTGGAAACACAAAATTCTCTAAATCAGTATGCTCCACAAACTGAAAAACACATTTACAACAAGATGACTTCTCCCTCATTGTCCTTTTCTGTTTCTCTCAGTGAACCAAAGCTAGAGAGTAAAGAAAGGAAGCCTACTAATAAAATTCGAGATAATAAACTGAAAGATTTTGAAACTAGAAGTGGGATGTTATTTAACTCTGAATCTGTTGTAAGGGAACCTTCTCACGACACAGGTCTCACTTACACAGTACATGAAGACCTTCCACAACAAAAGGAAAATCTTATCACGGCCACATCAGTTGAAACAGACCAACATTCATCTTTTAAAAAGACACCATCTAGCCAAAAAATTAGTAGCAATCAAAGTATTACTAGTAATCTGAAACCTGATGATGATACATATTCTTCACAAGTGTCTGAAGCCTCTGATCTCTCTGTTGAAGTGCTTCAGGAGATATTGAAAGGAAAACATGCAGATTTTCTGATGAGAAATGGCAGTCAGATCAGTGATTCAAAGAAAGAATTATCAATTGCAGAGGAAATTGACACAAGTGATAGCTCTATAGCAATATCTGTAAAGAACAGTGAAGAGCAGCAGAGCTCTGTTGCAAGTGTTGCTGAAAAATACATAGACAGTTCCAAAAGACACAGTATGATTAACGTCAATAGTGAAAATTTACAGGATAATAGGCTACCTACTTCACGTATAGTAGCAGATCAAACTAGCATGATTGGTAATTCTACTAAAAATATTGCAAAATGCAGTGCAGTGACTTTGCAGGGAGGTGAAGTGAATAATAACTCAGTGCATCAAATAGAAAGAACTATATCTCTGGGTTCTCCAGGAACAAGTGATAGAGTTAAAACTGCCAGTGAAAAATCTGCAAGGTACAGTGAGAGCAGAGGATCCTCTCCACGAGGACTAGATGATATAGATAGCAGTATTAGTGATGTTAGTGCTCGCATTGCTGCTCTTTTGCTGGCCAAGAGAGTAAGTGTTACCAGACTTAACACAGATTCTGTTAGCTCATATATTCCATCAGATGCTAGTGAGACGCTATCCAGCCTATCAGATATGACTGGAGATTAAGGCAGTGAAGTAAGCCTGTTCCATTCATTGTACATATTTCTAACAGCATATAGTACTCTTCTGTAGGCTTCCATAAAGAGTAAGTTTTTTCAGCAAGAAGAAATGACTGTAGCATAGGTAAAGTGTGCATATACACAGGATCTTATATGTAGAATATAATAGGGTGGTGAACATGACACATGTGCAACACCTAGGTATCTTTACTGGATAGATGTTTTGCCTAAACAGCAGGCTTTGTTTTCAGTATATTACAGGGACATAATGATGGGGACATTTATAGTGGAGCCAGTAGAAGGGTTGGAGAGCTGTAGCAGTTGTAGACATCACAGGTGGGCAGGACCCACTCGTGGAAGTAGGTTATTCCCCATAAGGTGGGCCATAGGTTAGCACCAGAGTTGTAGAAGATTTCCTTTTTACCAAGATTTCATGGTGTTGCTGTCAGACACATATCATTAGATCAAACATACCATACTGACAAGTGATGAAGACACAAACAATACTTTGGTTTCTTTAATGAAGAGACGTTTTGCATGCAAACAGGCAGTCTCGAAAATTAAGATACCCAGGTGTTGTACATGTGTCGTATTCATCATTTTGCCAGTATTGTACAGCTTTGATCTAAAAACATGATAGCCTAGACATGCTGTATTCAGTTTTGGGATCCAAGAACTCTCCAGGTGCCCAGGCTGATCATTATCATTCAGGATACAGCTGATTATTTTCTCTCAGGAAGAACATAGCCAAAGTCACCAAGGGTGTACACATGATTTATGACCATACTGTTAGCTAAATGGACACAAATGCGACTAATGTGACATTTTATTTTGGTAATGAAATGTTGCAATAGTTGCATGTGCATGTGTCCATTTACCTAATATACTACTGTAACGTTGGTAATTTTACCATTATTACTATTACAGTATTGGTGAACGACTCTCATGCATCTAGTGTTTATTTTAAATATAATAATTACTAGCATTAAGAATACACAGCAGGCAAATGTTATTCAGTTATTCTTTCGATAAAGACGCAGAGCATATAGCTAGTTAGCCACTATTATATTATTATTATTATAATCAAGGGGGAAGCGCTAAACCCGTAGGATTATACAGCACCCGGGGGGGATGTGGAAGGCATTCAGGCTTAATTCGGGGAACTGGAGCACAGATCCAATTCCCTAAATCAAGAGCCCCTCACCAACATCAAGGAACCTTCCATGAGGGGCCCTCTATTATAATTTGTGATATAGATTAGAGCATCACAACTATCATCACAGGGAAACACTTGGCACATCAAGGTCATGCTGCACATGAGGAATAGGAGATAACAGAGGAAGGGGAAGGGTAACACTAATAAGTTGCATCAAGATCTTTTCTCTAGGTAAGACACATAGGCAACAGTTAGGCAACTTTATTCCGAAACGTTTCGCCTACACAGTAGGCTTCTTCAGTCGAATACAGAAAGTAGGCAGGAACAGTAGAGATGTGAAGACGATGTAATCAGTCCATCACCCTTGAAGTCGTAGAATTTTGAGGTTGTCAGTCCCTCGGCCTGGAGAAGTTCAGTTCCATAGTCAGGAACTATGGAACTATGGAACTGAACTTCTCCAGGCCGAGGGACTGACAACCTCAAAATTCTACGACTTCAAGGGTGATGGACTGATTACATCGTCTTCACATCTCTACTGTTCCTGCCTACTTTCTGTATTCGACTGAAGAAGCCTACTGTGTAGGCGAAACGTTTCGGAATAAAGTTGCCTAACTGTTGCCTATGTGTCTTACCTACCAACCTGTCGGTATTGTATACCATTTTGATGTTCATCTTTTCTCTAGCATCAAGGCATCCCTATCATGGCAAGCACTCTGAGTTTCATGCTAGTAAATCAGTGCTATTGTATATTGCTTCATGCATAATTTATTATGAATTACCATTGAAGTATTGCATGTTCCTGTAGGTAACATGTGAATGGAAAAAATTGTCTGTTGTATCAACATTAAATATATGTATACATATGATTTGTATTTGCTCAGTTAATAATTATGAGTTATTAATGTTTGTATTGCAAAGAGTACTACAATTAAAAGTTTAATTATAATTGTATTTATATTCATATTTTATATATATATTTATATATATTTATATTTTATATATATTATATATATTATTAATTATATAATATATATATATTTTATATATATATATATATATATTGGAGTATGCCTGGAGAGAGTTCCGGGGGTCAACTCCCCCACGGGGCCCGGTCTGTGACCAGGCCTCATGGTGGATCAGGGCCTGATCAACCAGGCTGTTACTGCTGGCCGCACGTATTTAAACCTCTGCATGTAATGAGAACAGTGAGTGATAGACAGACTGTAATTTTTATTTAATAGTATATATACAACAGTATATATACGAAGAATATGTGTGGAGAGCCCCTACGACTCGGGTCGAACAAACTATCTGTACCAAAGCTCTGGTAAGGAGGGAGAAGGAAAGATTGGGAAGAATGGAAATGGGTTAAGGTGTGCGGTATAGAGGAGGAATAGTATAAGATGAAAAAAAAAAATATACTACTATTGAGTTACACTTGGTTATGGGTATTTTTTTTACGATACATCATCATGACATATATATATGACGCGTACCGCATTGCCCAACATTCATACATATGTATCATAAATGATACACGTACACTCATGCGGCAGGTGTGGGTATACTATTTTCAAGTAGAATTTACGATGGTAGAAAGTCGCTGCTCAGGAGGCTTCAGGACGGTTCAACTTCTAGGCCTAGGAAAAACCTGTTGCTGTTGACTCAGGTGTGGGTGCCTGGCCTTGCCAGGGTATCTCCCAAGGAGTTCACCTGAGCTAATTGGGAACATGATGAATTATGCACATGTGAAACCTCTGGGTATCTTTATTTTGTAGGCGTTTTAACAGCTAATGGCTTTATCAATACAATACAGGATATAACTGTATTTATGTGTACCTGTATCTGAATATCTGTGCTGCAGTTCCCCGAATTAAGCCTGAATGCCTTCCACATCCCCCCCCCCAGGCGCTGTATAATCCTCCTGTATATCTCACTTTTTCCATAAATAACAAAAAAAAATATAACAATGGTTATAAATGACCATAATTTTTAAAGGGGTGGACCGGTAAGCCAGCGGAAGGCCTCGGTCAGATGACCAAAAGCTCCAAAGGCGGGTCATCATCTGACTAAGACCCGCGTCAGGAAACATTTGTCCTGTTTCCTGACGAACCTTACCTAACCTAACCTAACAAAAAAAAGGCACAATACCGTGACTGGAACGATACACAAATAACCCGCACATAAAAGAGAAGCTTACGACGACGTTTCGGTCCGACTTGGACCATTGACGAAGTTAGGCGTGACTTTGTCAATGGTCCAAGTCGGACCGAAACGTCGTCGTAAGCTTCTCTCTTTTATGTGCGGGTTATTTGTGTATCACTTTTTCCATCCTAAGTTTTCCAGCTCAGGTTTTCCAGCCTTGGACTCCCTGGAGGCAGACCTGAATAAAGGGAGTTCTTGTGGCCCTCAAAACCCTCAACAACAATAACAATGAAGCAGACTGAGTTGTTTCATTGTTTAAATGATCTCTGTAAATTGGGTACGTAAATACTATGCTTACATTTACTTCCGATGGCACTTTATAACATTTAGCTACTTTGTTTAGTCTTTGTACTTATAATAAATCCAGATAGCAAGAAATTGAGAAACTGATCTTAGATCCTGTCAATTTTTTGTAGTTTCCAAATAAAGTTGTGGTAGTGGTTCTAGGAAAATTTTGGGAGATTTTTACCTTCAGAAAGGGTACTTGACGCTGGTGAAGGGCTCTTGATCCAGGGAACCTTATCTACCTCTTCACTCTGACTTTTTTGGGGGGTTATCCTAGGTAATTTATGTATGATAATTGTACCTGTCCCTAAATAAAATTACTTATTATTACTTCTCAATGCTCAAGACTTTAGGATTCTCATGGGTCTAGCACTTCCTCAAGAATAATAATAATAATAATTATAATAATAATATTATTTATTATTATTATTATTATTATTATTATTAATAATAATAATATTATTATTGTTATTATTTATTATTATTATTATTAATAATAATAATAATATTATTATTATTATTATTTTATTATTATTATTAATAATAATAATATTATTATTATTATTTATTAATAATAATAATATTATTATTATTATTATTAATAATAATAATATTATTATTATTATTAATAATAATAATAATATTATTATTTTATTTTATTATTTTATTATTATTATTATTATTATTATTATTATTATTATTATTATTATTATTATAATATTGCTCATCAGGTGTGAAATTTCTTAAGCTTTTGGGGGTCATGAGAAATTTATTTTGAAAGCTTGTGTTAATTTAAAAAAGTTTTCATTGTGATATAAATAGGACTGTAAATATTTTTTTTAAATAAAGATATGTTGACATTGCATACATTGTTACTATTTCCTGTAGGATCAATAGGTTGGATATCCTTGGAAAAGGCAACAGCAGTTGTGAGAAGGTTAAAAGAATCTTTATGTTGGTATGAGGAAGATGCTGAAGCACGTGCAGTTGGTGATGCTTCTGCAGCTGTGCTGGGGTGTAATGATGACCCAAGAATACGAATCCGCACATCCGTGAACCAGCTGATGTCATATGTTGATTCAGCCACAAGATCTGATATCAGGTACGGTAATTAGAAGAGCAGTTCCACTGTAATTGATGGTGGTTTCCTTGCACGATTAAGTGCAAAAGTTTCTCCAGGTGTGAGTCTTAGTTATAAAACTCACACCTAACTTGCAGTTATGCCAAAAAATAAAATTTTACATCATGATGTAATTTTTGGATTTCTCAAATAAAAAAAGGGATTATCCTACAGTAATGTTCTAGAATTCAATTGTGGGAGTTTTCTGAATGCAGTTCCAAGCTCTCTTGCTCTTCAGAATCATCTGATTTGGTCATGGTCTGTTTTGGTGTATACATATATGGTAGTACACCCAACTCGCTACTATACATTAAATTTTTGAGTTAGCCAGTTTGTATTTTTAAATAATACTACTTTATATCATTAATGCTTTTGGATAATCACTTTTGATATGTAAGCACTAGGGCACTGTCTAAAAAAAACAGTAAAAAATTGCCATTAAATTGGAACCAAAATTGTTTTCCCATGGACTGTCTATGAAAACTAACATTGTGTATCTAATACAGTAAAGTTAAATTTATTTTTAATTTTTAATATTAAATTTTTTGGTCAATATCTCACATAAGCAGTCGTAAAATTGGGACAAGAATTGCTGGAACCCTGGGTACCTCTATTGAGATACTATACATTATTCCAAAGGTGTCTCAGTAGCTGTTTGACTGACACATGCATGCAATAATATCGTGTTTTAGCCAGTTTGTCTATAGATTGCAATATTTTACATCTTTTAAAAAAATTATGTGAAAAGTTCATGAAAATCTATAAGATTATGCATTCGTACTCTAAAATAATCAATTTTTATCCAAGAATTATGCATAGGCACATTAAATGTATATACTGTATGTATTGAACAATATGCATATAATGTGCTTATTTGAATAATTTTATGTGCATCATGTATGTAAAGACACTTAAGTACAATGCAGATGTACAGTATATAAGATCAGTACAGGAGACCTCAACTTGTTAACTTCCCTAAGTTATGCACATCTACTCTGACAAATGGAATACTTATTAGTGCGAGACATGACTTTCCTTTGTACTATAAGTTTCTGTACAAACATCTTGTTACTAAGTTGAGAAAATAGGAATGCAACTTTGTCTCTAAGTTGGCAATCTGTATTTTTTTTGTACATGCACACTTACTGTTCATTGATACACAATATATATAATGCATACATGTTTTTTCACACATACACTTTATGCATACACTACACTCAGGTGTGTTTTGCATACACATTATAATAAAATATTGTACAAAAATTTTCATGAACAGAAGGAAGTGGTGTAACAACAGTATACATTAGAGTTGAAACAAAATTTTCCTCATCAGCTGACAAGTAACTGAAGACAATGCAGAATTGACAGATTTCCTGCAAAGCTTTCTTACAAAATTACTATGCTGGGTAGAGATTTTATTTGTGGTACTTGTAAAAGGTGGATAAAACCTTACCTAATTATATTTGCTATTAGAAAGGATGTGTCTCTTCTTAAGATTTTTTTTTTTTTCAGATTAGAATGTGGGTGTTTTGCAGTTGCTATCCTGCAGGAAATTCTATATCAGTTGCAGTTGGAGGCATGTATATCCTTGCCAGATGTGAAGATGTCAGATGGAGGTGGTGGTAGTGGCAATAAACGACGGGAATACAAAGTTCCCCCAGCACCTCCCTGCCTCATCAGTATGCAGCAAACTAAGGTTGTTGCTGGAACCCTTTCTTCCACCGTATATGTGTGCTGCATGTACTTGATGGGGTTCAGTACTAAGAGTACTGAGATTATAATGGAAAGGGGAAAGAAGGCTGCAGCTGCCTTCAAGTTGTGGAGATGTGATCTTCCATACATTGCTATTTTATTTGGAAAATATTATCTCTATTCAATTTAGTAAAATTCAGTACAGTCCAGTAATGTGTGTGCATAGTAAATATATAACTATTGTAACACAGGAGTAAAGTCAGTATTTTTAGCAATTATGTATCATTAGCTATTGTTGCATCATGATAAAAATAATGTACTGTAGATGTTTTAAGTAGGGTGACTTATTAATAGTTGATTTGTTATGAAGCTTTTATTGCATAATACTGTACTTCATTGTAAGTGAACTTAGCTTTACCTCTTGGTTAATAATACTATTGTCTTTCAGTTGGCAAAGGATGCAGCAAGGTTAGCCATGTACACAACAGTTCTGGGGTGCCTAGATGTTGAAGCTTCTGCATATGTCAAAATGACATTAGCAAAGACTGAATTTGTGTTGGGCACAGGCATAGTTGCTGTCCCACACAGTTGCCGACACAATCTTCTGGCTTCCATTATGAAAATACTTTTGTCTGTTATGAAGGTACTTTTTTCAGTGCAAATAATTTTGAATATAGAGATCTCATGTTTGAGGGTAATGTGTGGTGTGAATATAATGCAGAGAATTTGTAGTTTGGAAATTAGGAGGAGGTGCAGGATTACCAAAGGGCTGAGAAAGGGTTGTTGAGGTGGTTCGGACATGTAGAGAGGATGGAACAAAATAGAATGACTTCAAGAGTGTATAAATCTGTAGTGGAGGGAAGGCAGGGTAGAGGTCAGCCTAGGAAAGGTTGGAGGGAGAGGGTAAAGGAGGTTTTGTGTGCGAGGCACTTGGACTTCCAGCAAGCATGTGTGAGTGTGTTAGATAGAAGTGAATGGAGACAAATGGTTTTTAGGACTTGACATGCTGTTGGAGTGTGAGCAGGGTAATATTTATGAAGAGATTCAGGGAAACTGGCAGGCCAGACTTGAGTCCTGGAGATGGGAAGTACAGTGTCTGCACTCTGAAGGAGGGGTGCTAATGTTGCAGTTTTATAACTGTAGTGTAAGTGCTCCTCTGGCAAGACAGTGATGGAGTGAATGATGGTGAAAGATTTTCTTTTTCGGGCCATCCTACCTTGGTGGGAGACAGCCGATGTGTTAAAAAGAAAAATAACGTGCCAGTTAATCAAGAAATATCATATTTTTCATAAAAATTGGATGAATTGTGTTTGTTATCAATAATTTTTTGTCTGTATTCTTTTCATCATTTATTGTTTCGGCATGAAAATTCTCGTAGTCACGATATTTCACTTTGAAGTGGCCCTTGTAGGTTTAGTGTTTCTTTTTTATTATAATAATAATGAAGTGGTTGAGTGCTGGCTCTTGGGCTTCTCAGTCTTCTTTCTATATACTCTTGTGATTAGCTCTTGCATAGTATTTGCTTTTATTACTAAATATGAAAAGAAGGAAAGCTTTCTTTTTTTTTGGGGGGGGGGGGATCACCCAACCACAGTAGGAGATGGCCAGTTTGTTAAAAAAAATATATATTTACTTTTGAGTATGTGTATGTGTGTGTTAAAATGTGTTTATGGAGCTCCAGTGCCTGGGCTTCCCCACCAAACCATTACCTGAATTAATTGGTCACATGTTTGACTAGTCATGCAGCCACATGATTTATAAATTTTTTCCACATTAGCATGAGACACTGGGAGCTGGCATCAGGGCATCACTCTTCCCCGAGATGATGAGCGCTATGATGCAGCTTTGTTTTTCCCCTTCAGAGGTTAAGGATTACCCAGAGGATGTAGCCTTTTTCAGAGAACAGCATGTAAAACTCATGGATACCATGGATACTAACCTTATTCTGCAACACCTCCTCCTACTTCTGGGAATTGGGAAGGTACTGTGATTCATCCATTTAAACATATCAAAAACTTCTATGTATTGCACTTTTAATAGGGAAGCAGCATTTCCAAATGAAAAAAAATAATGTTTGCTGATGTTAAACTTTTTATTCTATACAGGAGGTTTTCAAATTATGATTGAGTTGCATTTACAATGTTTCATCATATGAACAAGCTTTCTTTAACCCTTTGAGGGTCGACAGGCCCTCTCCGAGACTTGTTCTCAGGGTCGGCCAAATTTAAAAAAAAAAAATTATTTTTTCTTATGAAAAGATAGAAAATCTTTTCCTGATCATAATGACACCAACAGTATGAAATTTGATGGAAAACTTACGGAATTATGCTCTCGCGAAGTTAGCGGTCTCGACAATGTTTACGCATCGGCGATTTTGCCCACTTTGAGCCCTATTTTCGGCCAATTCCAGTGTACTAGTCGACAAAAATCGTAACTATTTCTCTAGAACTCCATTTTTTCTATTGAATGAGCACAAGAAACCACCCATTTACTGATTTCAACTATCCAATACAGTGGTCAGAATTTAGCAATTTTGCCAATTTCACACAAATTTCAAAAGATGCCAATTTCCAAATAGGGTCCAGAAAATAAACAAGAACGACATTCCTGGCACTAAAATAACGTTTCCTCTGTTCGTTAGTCACATCTCCAGGCCCCTCTTATATTTCTTTGGCTTTCCACTTTCAATTTTTATTCTTACAAAAAATAGAAGATTTACTGTTATGCAGACTGCTGCATTAGTGTAGAAATGGTATAAATAATATCAGTGCACTTGTGAAAGAATATTAGACTCGCTAGTTGACGTGTATTGGACGCTTGGCATGATTTGTTTACTTTTGAACTTTGGTAAAAATCGAACATTTCTGCTACTTTGAGCTCAATTTCAAGGTACTTTTCATTGTAAAACCAGTCAAAATCATCTCAATTTCTGTAATATGTCTTCCATTCTATAAAATGAGACCAAGAAAACTAGAATACAACAATAAATACCATACGAAAATACGGTGCAAAGTCACTGTTTTATTCCAAAAACACGGTCAAAGTTTTTTTTTCATTATGCACTGTGTGCTGCAGGATTTTTGTTATACTTCACACACTGACCACATAGACCCATTCTTTCATATGTATGCCTACCAGCTTTCTCCCACTAGATTTGAGGGTGCTAGAATTTAGGCATACTAGTATGTCAAAAACCCTGGGTCGTAAGCCGTACTAGTATGGCCGAAACCCTCAAAGGGTTAATCCTGAACTTATTATTTCATAGAAAACTATAGTATTTGGCAATTTTGCCAAAATTGAGTTCTATTTTAAGTCAATATTCCATTGCTCCATTTGATTAAATTTTTAGCTACTTTGCTAGTATATACGCCTTCCATTCTACTGATTCAGTTATTACAACTACCCTATAAAGTACACAGAAGTCAGTAATTTGGCCAGTTTGACACAAAACTCAGAAAATTCCAATTTAAAAATAGAGTGCAAAGTTAACAATGTAGACATTCCAGGTTATAAACAGCATTTCCATTGTTCATTAATTATGTCCCTAGACCTCTCCTGTATTACACTTGTCCTCTATTTTGAAATCATAATCACACAGAAATAGAAGATTTACTCTATTCCCTGGATAATAAAATATAAAAAGGAATGATTGGAAATGATTTACAGCATCCCAATAATTAAATCAAACCCATTGGGAGACCATTAAACAGATTGGGAGGTATAGGGGGCCATACCCATCCTCAGTAAAATTGGCAAAAATAAAATATTTCTGCTACTCTGAGCCCAGTTTTAAGCTACATTCTTTTCTGAGACAACCAAAATGATCTCTGTTTAATTTTTTCAAATGATACCAAGAAACAGCCAATAAAACCATATGAGCCATCCTAGAAAAATACCTCAAAATTGCTATTTTAATCCAAACATGTGGTCAGAGTTTTGCTTTTTGCATCATCCACCACATTGAGCAGGATTTTTTTTTATATTGTGCACACTCACCATGCAGACCCATGCTCTGAAATCGAGGCCAAAAATTACTGCTCACAGCTTATCTGAGTGAGCTGAGCTCTTGACGTAGAACTTTGTGAAGGAGCTTGGCCTCAATGACAGATTTACGTGATGGTCACTAAAAGGGTTAAGAAAAGTTAAATGTAAAACATTGTAAAAAATTATAAAGTGTTATAAACTGCAAGAAACTATAAAGTGTTAAAAACTGCAAAAAATTATAACAAATTTTAATTATAGAGTAACTCTTCTTTCAGATTGAAGGGTGGTTTGGCAAGGTGTGCAGATCTCTAGTAGTACGAAGGTTCTTGATGAAGCCAGGTGGTGTTGGTGCAGTAATAGGTTCTGCTCTGGCCATCACTGATAAGCAGAAGTGGCAGCGCTGTGAGGCAGTTGCTACCCTTGTCGCTCAAGCTAAAATTCGTGATGTAAATCTCTTATTTACCACACTGGGGCCTCAGGTGTGTATTAATTTTAATTTCCAAAGTAGGCATTTTGCCTTTCGTAGTATATATACTATACATCCTACCCTAAATTCATTATCAGTAGATTATAACTCCTTTTAGAATTGTAAGGCAAGAATTATGACCCTAATATTTTGGGATGATGCCTTGATGCATGTGAAGGACTCTTGATCCAAAGAATTAGAGCTACCCATCCCTTGGATCAAATCTGATTATCTTCCATTCATCAGGCACTAATATCCCCTACAGGCTTAGCATAATAGTTTTAATTTTGTGATGGCACTTTAATATTTGCAGTTGTCAACATTGTTTTCAGTTGGTGGAGTTGATGGGGCAGGACAAGCTTAAGGCTGAGGTGCTTCATGTGGTGGTACTGATTGTGGCCCAGCTGGCTGTGACATCTGCAACGCTGACAGCTCTTCACATCACCAACACATTGCTACAGCCGTTGATCAACACCACACTCCCTGATGCACCATGGTACTGTTGGCCCTCAAATTTTGCATTTTTGTATTTGAAAGTAATCTGAATGTTGCAGTTCAGGGGGTCATTTCAGTTGTAATGTTTATGCACATCTGCTTCTGTGGAAGATGGCCAGAGTGTTTAAAGAGAAATATACTATAAGGTATTCTTCATTATGGCTTATGAAGCTAGGAACATGTAAGGTGTATAATAGATGTATTATTTCTTTACAGTTTATGCAGGAACTCAAACCTCACAGCTTGTGTTAGTAGAATTCACAAGATTTTTGTGGAAATTCCTCCTCCAAACACGGTTTTGACTGATCTTCTCCGTCCTGTTCTCAAGCCTTTGATAATGATTGCTTCACTAGCTACTACTCATCTTCGTACACTGGCGCGGCAGATCATTCTACGGTGAGTAACTGAAAAATTATTCATATAATTTCCTATCTTAGTAGGACTGGAGGTAGGCTGGACAGTAAAACGGCCAGATCGTAATAGGTTAAGAGGGGGATGGGAAGGGTGTATTTAAAAGTATGAATATCTGGTAAATTTGGAGATAAATTTATTGAAACTTTCAACACTGAGAAACTGTTTCATTTTTACTTGTTTATTATTAATACAGCCTCTCCTTACTTAGTGACGTACTCATTTATTGATGACTCGGACTTGCGACGGGCTTTCTGACCAGTATGCATACCTAAATAATGCATATTAGAGCTGATTTCCTCTGTTCTGTTTATTACAATATACAGTATACTACTGTATTAACCTTTAAAAATACATCAGAAATGTTGTTAATGGTGCATAGGTGACATTAAAACAATATCAAAGATGGCTGACACAAACCCATTACCATTATAGTAGTATGCTCCTTGCTTCGCGACAAATTCGTTTACCAATATGGAACGGAACTCAGTCATTAAGTGGGGAGAGGCTGTATTGTGAATACTATTAAATCATTAAAAACTGCTATTGTGAATTAAGGCTCATAAATATAGGTTGAAAAATAATTCTGTACCAGGCAAAACTGTAGCCATAGTAAATAAATTTCTTGGAATTTGCTATTTAATTTAGATGGTTAGTGAAGAATGCACAGAATAAACATAACCTTATTATATAGAATATTCATAGTTAAATTGCTTAGAAGGTGTTTCAGTATAGCCTTCATTATCAAAGACATATTAAAACAAGATGTATAGGTGTGTATTTGCGAGGGAGGTTCTGCATTAGCTTTTGAAATATATATGTATAGTGATTGCTGGTGTGTTTTTTCCTGTCTTGTAAACATGCAAGATTTCAGGTATGTCTTGCTACTTTTGCTTACACTTAGGTCACACTACACATACATGTACAAGCATATATATACACACCGCTCTGGGTTTTCTTCTATTTTCTTTCTAGTTCTTGTTCTTGTTTATTTCCTCTTATCTCCATGGGGAAGTGGAACAGAATTCTTCCGCCGTAAGCTGTGCGTATTGTAAGAGGCGACTAAAATGCCAGGAGCAAGGGGCTAGTAACCCCTTCTCCTGTATAAATTACTAAATTTAAAAAGATAAACTTTCTTTTTTCTTTTTGGGCCACCCTGCCTTGGTGGGATATGGCCGGTTTGTTGAAAAAAAAAATGTATAGTGATTGCTGGTGTGTGTTTTCCTGTCTTGTAAACATGCAAGATTTCAGGTATGTCTTGCTACTTCTGCTCACACTTAGGTCACACTACATATGCATGTACAAGCATATATATACACACACCCCTTTGGGTTTTCTTCTGTTTTCTTACTAGTTTTTGTTTATTTCCTCTTATCTCCTTGGGGAAGTGGAACAGCATTTTTCCTCCGTAAGCCATGCGTGTCGAAAGAGGCGACTAACATGCTGGGAGCAAGAGGCTGGTAACCCCTTCTTCTGTATACATTACTAAAGTTAAAAAGAGAAACTTAAATTTTTATTTTTTAGGTCACCCTGCCTCAGTGGGATATGGCTGGTTTGATGAAAAAAAAAATGCATAGTGAATCCAGATATGTAATATGTATGTAGGTAGCTCTAGATAAAAAAAAAAAGTGTTTTAGTAGAACTGTTTGAAGTGCATAAAAGTGTTTATATTTGTAACATTTCAGATGTTTATCAAATCTACCAAGAGAGGTCATTGTTGAGAGGCTTCTTGTTTTATTCAACCTCAAGACTTGTGCTCAGTCACCTCCTGTAAATCCAGAGATCAAGTTTTCTATTGATGATGATGGTGGAGTTAAAGTGGATGTAATTGCAGAGTCAGTTAATGAAAATGATTTAGAAGAGGATGAAAACCTGTGCACCTGCCTTGTTTCAATTTTGGAATCGTTGAATAACTCTGCAATTGTGCTGTTATTTTATGAGAAAATGGTATTTTACATAGACTTCACTGTATTGAATATTAAAAAATTGCCACCAACTGCACTTGTCACAGACACTGATGTGCAAGCAAGTAAAGTAAAGACAATGAGAAACATAATCTTTTGCTGTGATATTTTAACCCATTTGTCAGAGAGTGAGCAGATAACAAGTGATCTCTTTGTGAACTTGTCTGCTGCTGTACCCGTTGTTGACACACTTATAAATAAAGGTTGCCAAAAGCTCGAGGATAAGCAGTTAGAAGAAATACAAGTTTCCCTCATTTTCAATGTTTTGATGCTAGTTATGTGTTATGTGAGTGAGCGTACATTAAGAAAGAAAATGACAAGTGAAGACTGGAAAGGCTTAAAATCTCTCTTACCATCCTTAAAGAAAATAGAAGAGAGCAGCAACAATGATGCTGTTCTTCTGATTAATGAAAAGCTGAGAAATCTTGTTTTAACCCATGGGATAGTTAACAGTCTTGCTGAGGATACAGCTGGAAATAAGAAAACCAGTAGTCATACTTCTGTAGATGAGTATGTGAAGAAGCCTCATGATACATGCTCTGAACAACATAGCACAAGAGAAGTTTATCAGCACATGAACATAAATGAAGAGTCGTGCTCTAAAACCATTCCAAAGGAAAATAATGCAAGTGAAATTGTTCAAGAAAATTTGAATCGGTTAACTACAAAACTTGAAATAAACAACGAAAATTATAGAAATGTGGGCTCGTACAAAGAGGCTATGGAAGAGTTATTCAGCCCACTGCTGCCTGTGCGTGGACATGCCCTTCTGGCACTGGGTAAACTAATTGAAAAGCGTGATGAAGAAACAGTGGCTCACAAAGACCAACTCTTTTCAGTATTCCAGCATAACTTAAAAGATGATGATTCTTACTTATATCTCATGGCTGTTGAAGGCTTAGCAGTTCTGTGTGATGCTCTCCCAGAGAAGGTAAGACTTGCATATTTTTTTGTAATAGTAAAAATTGTTTAGACCATATATTGCATTTAGTAACATTTCATGTATAAAAGTCAAAACTGTATTTTCTTTATGTTTTACTAGGCATTTTCATGTAGTAAAACAGTGAAACTAGAAATTCAAAGAGGCTAAAACTAGTGACTGAACTGAAGGAAATGAGTTACTGTATTTAGAATGAGAGAGCTGAGCCTGCCTTCATTGGAGGAACAAAACACGAGGGGATATAATCACAATGTACAAAATACTTTTGGACACAAAGAGGATACTTTTTTTATTAAAAATATAATGAGAAACAGCAAAAGTTCATGGTTGGAAAATACACATTTAATGAGGCAATAGAGCTAGCCCTAAAAAATGCATTTACAGTACACACATTATTTACCTTAAAATATTTTCATCCTTAGCTTATTGTGAGTGGTGAATATATTTATTGTAGGAAGTCTGAATAAATGAAGAATAGGTATAATTGGAAACTTCTGTATTAGTGAAATGGTGTAAAGCAGGGCCTGCCTGTATGTTAGTTGTTTAATGTACAGTGTAACTTACTATTGCAGGTAATAGAAATACTAACACAAGAATTCAGCATTGGGAATCGTAGTGTAGAAGACAGAGTAAAACTAGTGGAGGCATTGACCAGAGCTGCAAGACGTCTGGGGTCGTTGTTGCCACACTTTAAAGATTTATTTATAAATGCTTTCCTTAATGGTGAGTTTTGAGCTGTTTAATAAAAATATATGGCATAGTAATATCAATATTTAACTAACTCATTTGGTATTCAGAGGTGTGTGCAAAAAAAATTTCTCAGTTAAGGCTGGATAGAACAAGAACACAACTTTGAATTTGAATGATGACAGTAACTGAATAAGAACATTATTTAGACCATGAAATTGACTAGTATTGTACCTTGTGTTTGTCTAATACATATAATAATAATGTATGATGCAGTATTTGTGAACTTAACTCTAGCTGGTGGGATAAGGTATCTGGTTGCTCCTCAATTGGTTGGTACTATCAACACTTCCAAAATATGTACATCTTTCTTTTTCTTTCAACACACCGGCTGTATCCCGCCAAGGCGGGGTGGCCCAAAAGGAAAAACGAAAGTTTCTCCTTTTACATTTAGTAATATATACAGGAGAAGGGGGTTACTAGCCCCTTTCTCCCGGCATTTTAGTCGCCTCTTAAAAAATATGTACATATAGTACTTTTAAAATATACATATTAGAAAAAGAAATAAGCAAAAATAATATTAAAGGCAGATTATGGGTGCAATCTTGGCATTATTGATAAATTAATATGCATGTTAGTAGTTGAGCTTGCACTATTTGTATTCCATCTCATTTAAACTTGCATTCTGAAATTCTTTCTTCTTTCTTTCAACGTACCAGCCGTATCCCACTGAGGTGGGGAGGCCCAAAAGAAAAAACTAAAGTTTCTCCTTTTAAATTTAGTAATATATACAGGAGAAGGGGTTACTAGCCCCTTGCTCCTGGCATTTTAGTCGCCTCTTACGACACACATGGCTTACAGAGGAAGAATTCTGTTCCACTTCCCCATGGAGATAAGAAGAAATAAACAAGAACAAGAATTAGAAAGAAAATAGAAGAAAACCCAGAGGGGTGTGTATATATATGCTTGTAAACATATGTGTAGTGTGACCTAAGTGTAAGTAGAAGTAGCAAGACATACCTGTAATCTTGCATATTTATGAGACAGACAAAAGACACCAGCAATCCTACCATCATGTAAAACAATTACAGGCTTTCGTTTTACACTCACTTGGCATTCTGAAATATGTACACATATATCCAATGTCACGTTTCTGTCTAGTGGGTTTGTAGTACCCAACTCCGTTTCAGGCTTGTTTTTATTTGCTAGTATGCATCTGTATCATACCCTTTAGCCTCCACCTGCACGGGTGGAGATTGCATAGAACACTCCAAAATTTGTTCAACTTTAGCTTGAACAATTCACCATTAATGGTAGTAGTATAACAAAACCAGAAACACCAATGATTTGCCATAATCTAAAACAAGTGCAAAGGACCTTAAGGTAGTGTCATTTCTCAATTCAAGCTTCCTCATCATCTCTTAAAAAAAAAGACCTGCTACATTTAAGCAATATAACTGGAGGCAGAGGCAGGAAAATTGGGTCAAAGGATAACCAAGAAAATTAAAGAGTCTGTATTTCATAAATTATGTATTGTACCTCCAACTTGGATGCAGATGTTAAGTGTCTTATATGGAGAAGCACAACATTCCTCTGACTTGAGAGGTTTTGTTAAGCATCACGTTGTTTCATTGAGAGGACATTTTAATTTTGCTATACATAAGGATAAATGCATAATTGAATTCTTCATGAAACAAGGTTGTAGACAATTCAGACTTAAGAAATTTTTATTTTATGATTTTTATGATGTTAATTGATATTTTTAATTTTGATGTTTTCAGTCACTGTAAATTGTAAAAGTTTTAGCATACGAAAATAGGCAATGAATTGTTTGATAATACATTATTATTATAATCAAAAAGAAGCGCTAAGCCACAAGGGCTATACAGCGTTTGATAATACAATTTTTTGTTGTAATATAATTCATTATTTTCTCTTCTAGGAGTCAGAGATGAGGAAGCTCTTATACGAGCCGCAAGTCTCTCTGGGCTGGGGGAGGTTTTCAAATTACTTCGCTTCAGTCTAGGACCTATTGTCCATGAGGTTAGAATTTTAGATTATTTTCTAGCCATTATTGTATATGTGCGGGAGATTTTTCACATGTGAATTATGATACATGATAATTTGTATATGCTGTACAGTGCATGTAATTACAGTACCTATTGGAATATATAGGATATGAGTTCTAATCCTTCCCTTGTTAATCCTTTTCACTCTCGGTAACATTGATTTATGTGATTAGGGTCAGTGTTAGTCACGTAAATCTCTGCATAATTCATATCCCTCAGATTTGTTGTGAGTGGTAAATTTTGGCATAGATATGAGAGAATGTGTCTGTGTGGTGGGTGTGCATAGTATAAAAAAAAATCCAGCCCCCACACAGCGCATAATGGGAGCAGCTAACCTCTTGACATTATGTTCGGGGTTAAAATAGCAAATTTGAGGCATTTTCTAAGGTGGTTTACATAGTTTTATTGGCCGTTTCTTAGTGCCAAAAGATAGAATGAGAGACATATTAGTTATCTGAGAAAATTGTGGTCAGTTTCAACTGGACATGCCTTGAAATAGGCCTCAAAGTGGTTGAAATGGTCAGTTTTGGACAATTTTCTTGGGAAAGGGTTAGGACCCCCTCCTTTGTTTTCTTTATGAACTATTATTAGGTCTGCTTTAATTGTTGGGATGGCCTAAACCATAACAAATAGTTTTTAGTTATGGATTATTAGGTGAGAAATGGGGAAAAAATGAATTTTTGTGTGTGACAGTGGATTCAAAATGGAAGGCAAGTGTTACATAGGAGATGCCTTGGGGATGTGATTAATGTACAGAGGGAAGGTTGCTTTAGTGGACGGAATGTGTGCAGAGTTAGTTTTGGACTCTCTTTTTATATTGGATTTTGTTGGAAATAGTATAAAATTGGCCAAAGTACTGACTTTTGGGCATTAAATAGGGAAGTTCTGATGGTTGAATGTGCAGGTTCTTTTGATCAGCAGATAGTATAGAAAGCATACAAGTAACTGGAATTAGCTTGGTTTGAGTACTAGAACTGACCTAAAATTAGGTGAAATCATTATTGTGAAAGTGCTCCCCAACCTCCAAATTTGCACCTGTGTAATTCTATAAATATTACGTTAGATTTTGCCCTTTTAGTCTCATTACCTTTAGAAAAAGATTATCTACCATTTTAGAAGATAACTTACAAAAAAAAAAAAATGCCAACACAGTAGGGACTTTCAATTAGGAGGGTGTCAAGAGTTAACAGGTTGAGGGCGAGATCAATTAAATTATTTGTGCTCAACTGATTCAGAATAGGTTGCAGTAATTTATTAAGTTCCCTCTTTAAGACAACAAGTGATCCATAACTAATTCATCTCGTATACAGATGTTTGAAATGTGTTGATAAGCTCTGGATCCTTTATTTTTAATTAAGTTATATGTAGGTGCTTATTGCAGTGTGCAAATATGGAGTTTTAATATTGTGTTTGTTAGTTTGTAATACTAGTTGAATTTGGTTCAGTGTAGCAGTTTTATTTTGTATTTTGAGGTAGATAATATTTTTGCTAGTAGACTAGCAAGGTTCGAGCCTCTGAACTCCAATGAAGGAGAAGTAAGTGTATGTATCCAGCAATATAACCAGGTATGTACACTCACATCTCTCCTTGTCGGAGTTCATTGGTTCTAAAGCAGAATACAGTGACTGCAGTGCTTAGGATGCTATTAGTCTACATATACCATATCAAAATATTTTTCACAGGTCTTTGGATTGCTGTATAATGTTGTCAAGGGTGAAAGTGCTGCCGAGGTCCGTCGAGCAGCCGTGCTTGTGGTGACACTCCTCCTTCAAGGCTTAGGTCGTGATGCCTTTTCAGTATGTATATGCTTATGTCCATCTACATGTACTTCAAGTTACTTTTATTATTCATTTCTGTCAAATTGGTATACCTGAAAATGCCTTCAATATTCATTTATGTTAAATAGTTGATTTTGGATTCATGGATCAGGTTTTAAAGAGATTTTGAGATAGTGGATGAGCACTTAAGGATACATTCTGTGGCCAAGTGGATGAATGTTAATAATATCAAGATATATAGTAGCATAATAATATTATTAATAAGGAGGGGGTAAAGGAAGTTTTGTGGCCGAGGGGCTTGGACTTCCAGCAAGCATGCATGAGCGTGTTAGATAGGAGTGAATGGAGACGAATGGTTTTTGGGACCTGACGAGCTATTGAGTGTAAACAGGGTAATATTTTGTGAAGGGATTCAGGGAAACCAATTAGCTGGACTTGAGTCCTGAAAATGGGAAGTACAGTGGTCCCTCGTTTTTCGTAATTAATCCGTTCCTGGAGCCGTTACTATAAACGAAATTTACGATTTACGAATCAATTTTCCCCATAAGAAATAATGTAAATACAATTAATCCGTTCCTGACACCCAGAAGTATTAAAACAAAAAAATTTTTAACATGAAATATACATGTAGTACATAAACAATACAATGGGAAATGATGAATGAAACATTAACAGCATAACACTTACCTTTATTGGAGATTCTTCTTAGTGTATGGGAGACTGGAGGAGGAGAGAGAGTGGATTGTTTATAGTTTGGAAGGGGAATCCTCTTCCATCAACACCTCAGGTACCATTTGCTTTTCTGGGGTTGCTTCTCTTCTCTGTTTCTTAATGCCACTAGGACCACCTTGAGAGTCACTGGAGTCCTGTCTCACAAAATAACTGTGGAGAGAGCTCTGTTTCTGGCGTCTCTTTAACACTTCCCTAAAATGGCCCAAGACTTTGTCACTGTACATGTTGCCAATATGGCTTGCAACAACCTTGTTAGGGTTATGTTTCTCCATAAAGCTTTCCATCTTACCCCACATAGTAAAAATCTCTTTAATTTCTGAAGAAGGCACCTTCTTCCATCTCTCTTCCTCCTCCTCTGCAGCAAGATTCTGAGCTGCAAAGTGTTGCTCTTCCTGCTGAAGCTCTTGCAGCTCCTCAGTGGTGAGCTCTTCATTGTGATCTTCCACATCCTCCAAACTCACATCCAACCCCATGGAACTCCCCAGTGCCACAATTGATTTTACAACAGACATAGGCTCATTAGGGTCAGTCCCAAATCCTTCAAAATCCCTCTTGTCGACACAATCTGGCCACAATTTTCTCCAGGCATAGTTCAAAGTCTTGGTAGTCACTCCCTCCCAAGCCATACCTATAAGGGTTATGCAGTGGAGGATGCTGAAGTGTTCTCTCCAAAATTCCCTTAGGGTCAAGTGAGTGTCTGTGGTCACAGTCAAGCACCTGTGAAACATTGCTTTTGTGTAGAGTTTTTTAAAGTTTGCAATAACCTGCTGGTCCATGGGCTGGAGGAGAGGAGTGGTATTCGGGGGCAAGAACTTTACTGCGATGAACCCAAACTCCTCGAAAATTAGGTCATCCAAGTTTGGAGGATGAGCAGGTGCATTGTCCATTACTAGCAGGCACTTGAGATCCAATTTCTTTTCCAGGAGATACTCCTTCACACTAGGGCCAAACACTTCATTGAACCACTCGACGAAAATTTCCCTCGTGACCCATGCCTTACTATTAGATTTCCAAAACACACAATTTACTCTTCATAACATTATTTTTCCTGAACACTCTGGGATTTTCAGAATGGTACACTAGTAATGGCTTCACTTTGAAATCCCCACTAGCATTAGCACAGAACATTAGTGTCAGCCTGTCTTTCATAGGCTTGTGTCCTGGCATTGCCTTTTCCTCTTGTGTAATGAAGGTATTCTTTGGCATTTTCTTCCAAAAGAGGCCGGTTTCGTCACAATTGAACACTTGTTCAGGTTTCAGTCCTTCAGCCTCTATGTACTCCTGGAACTCATGCACATATTTTTCAGCCGCCTTGTGGTCCGAACTGGCAGCCTCACCATGCCTTACCACACTGTGTATGCCAGTACGGTTCTTAAATCTCTCAAACCAGCCTTTGCTGGCCTTAAATTCACTCACTTCACCACTATTTGCAGGCAATTTCTTTATCAAATCTTCATGCAACTGCCTAGCCTTTTCACAAATAATCGAAGTCATAAGAGTATCTCCTGCTAATTGTTTCTCATTTATCCACACCAATAATAACTTCTCAACCTCTTCCAGTACTGGTGATCTCATTTTTGTCAGCATAGTTACTCCCTTCGCAACAACAGCATCCTTTATTTCCTTTTTCTTGGCCACTATGGAACATAAGGTTGTGTAAGGTTTCTTATACATCCTGGACAGTTCGGCCACACTTGTACCACTTTCATATTGTTCAATGATGGTTTTCTTAAATTCAGTCATATTTCTCACCTTCTTTACCACAGGCTTGGCACTAGGAGCTTTCTTTGGAGCCATGGTGGCTTATTTAGTACTTGCAATCATTAAAATAAATGGAATATTATGAAATATTTCGCTGGAGCACTTGAGGGGACCTTCGCTCACTGGTAAACAATGCCAGACTGGCTGCCGCCCCGGCTCATGCCGTGGGTACGTGTCCCGGACGAACTACGACTCGCGAGTCAACCTATGAAAAGCGAGTCCATGTTTATACGAAAATACCCCTATGATTGGCGAATTTTACGATTGCCGGGAACTACGAAAAGCGGGGGACCACTGTACAATGCCTGCACCTTAAAGGAGAGGCTTGGGATATTGGCAATTTGGAGGGACTTCTAAACTGTCGTATCTGAGCCCCTTTGCAAAGACAGTGATTAAGCGAGTGTTGAATGATGATGAAAGCATTTTCTTTTTGGGAATTTTCTTTCTTTTTGGGTCACCCTGCCTTGGTGGGAGACAACCTATGTGTTAAAAAAATGTGTAAAAAATGTGCCGGTAGTGCATGTTACTGTTAGAAAATGATTAAAAAATACTATTTTATATAGTTTCATTCCCCTCAAGGAAGGTTCCTTGATGTTGGTGAGGGGCTCTTGATTTAGAGAATTGGATCTGTGCTCCAGTTCCCCGAATTAAGCCTGAATGCCTTCCACATCCCCCCCCCCCAGGCGCTGTATAATCCTCCGGGTTTAGCGCTTCCCCCTTGATTATAATAATAATATATAGTTTCATTATTGATTAGTTTAATTTCTAATCCAAGTATGAAGGTTCAATAGCCTCATCATGAATAAGCACATTTTTTTTTTTCCAACAAGTCGGCCGTCTCCCACAGAGGCAGGGTGACCCAAAAGAGAAAGAAAATCCCCAAAAAGAAAATACTTTCATCATTCAACACTTTCACCTCACTCACACATAATCACTGTTTTTGCAGAGGTGCTCAGAACACAACTGTTTGGAAGCATATACGTATAAAGATACACAACATATCCCTCCAAACTGCTAGTATCTCGAAACCCCTCCTTTAGAGTGCAGGCATTGTACTTCCCAATTCCAGGACTCAAGTCCGGCTATATAAAAATAACCGGTTTCCCTGAATCCCTTCACTAAATAATAACAACATCCACCTGGACAGACTCGAACGTCGACTACCTGAGACAAGAGAGATCTCTATCACAGTTCGTCCACCAAGAACTGGCCATTGTCTTATAAAAAATATTATGCTTATACATATTTTGTTTTTCTTTACCAAGGTGCCTTGATACTGGTAAGAGGTTTTTGATCCAAGGAACTGGACATATCCTCCCTCCTTGGATTGAACCTAATTATCTCCCATTTCTCAGGCACTGTATGACCCTTATGATAATATATTTTTTTTTCCTTTAGGTATTACAGGAAGAAATGAGAGACCTGTACAGAGCCCTCCGACTTGTTCACAAAACAGATCCAGATGATGTGGTGAGGTTGCATGCACAACTTGCTCTGACAGAAATTGATATCATCACAAGACAGTTCTTGATCCCCAAACTGAACCTCGCCAAAAGAATTTACGTGACTGAAATGCCACCTAGCACATTTTGAGAAATGTTTATGTGGTCTAGTCCAGAGATAAAATCAATTTACGTAATGTATTCTGTCGTGAGGTACTAGTGTTAATCCCAAATGTTCCAGAAGGTATGATCATATTTTTTTTTATAAAGTCAAAAACAATATATTAAAAACATACTTTTATTTATTCTATTAATTTTTACCTGCCATGTAACAATACTGTACCTGTTATTATTATTATTACAATCAAGGGGGAAGTGCTAAACCCGGAGGATTATACAGCGCCTGGGGGGGGAGGGATGTGGAAGGCATTCAGGCTTAATTTGGGGAACTGGAGCACAGATCCAATTCCCTAAATCAAGAGCCCCTCACCAACATCAAGGAACCTTCCTTGAGGGGGCTGTACCTGTTATATGCAATTATTTCTTAATCATAATTACTCATAGCATCAAATGCATCTCATCCTACTTTTGTTTTACTAACGTAATTATTATTATAATTATGGGAGAGCTCTAAACCCATAGGATTATACAGTGCATGTTGGGGGAGAGATGGAAGGTATTCAGGCTCAATTCAGGGAACTGGAGCACAGATCCAATTACCTAGATCAAGAGCCCTTCACCAGTATCAAGGAACCTCCCTCGAGGGGTACTAAGGTAATGCTTTTTATATTTTTTTTCAAATTTGCTTGCCTCTTTCACGTGTCATCATGACCATTCAAAGATGGTATTGTATATGAAGAATTTGGCTAGCTTTGTTCTGCATATCCCCTCTGGGAGGGCACCTTGATGCTGGTTAATTATTATTATTATAATCAAAAAGAAGCGCTAAGGCGCAAGGGCTATACAGAGCTGCAGGGTAGGGAAGGAAGCGAGGGTATTGGGCGGCAGAAGGGGGGAGGGATGATCAGTAGGTTACAGAAAACAGCGGGGCAGGGGATAGTGCGGGGGTAGAGGGTAGCAAGAGATTGAGGTAGAAAGGGCTGAAGGTATCAGAGTTTGTGAAGTAAGTCAGTTGTTGTCAAAAAGTCAATGAGAGAGTCCGGATTAAAGGTGGGTCCATCAGCAAGAAGGGAAGGTAAAGAGAGCGCAGCGGAGCGAAGATGACGACGGAGGTAAATTCTGCGTGCTTGTTGATAAAGTGGGCAATCTAACAGAATGTGGCTGAAATGCTGGTTAAAGATTCAAAATGCAAGAAATTGGACCTGACATCCCTTTCTTTGGATGGAAACAGATTGCCTCTTTCAAGGTTACCCTACATTATATTTGTGGTGGGGGGGGCACTAAATCCATAGGAATCATTTTGTGCCTGGGAGAATGGGAGGCATTCACATTTGATTCAAGGGAATAATAGTCAGTGCTAAATTTGAAATGGTTGATCCGAAGAAAGCACAGGCCCATTCTTTCAATCAGGAGCCCCTCACCGTCATCAAGCAACCTCCCTTGAGGGGTATGACCCCTAGGTTTGGCACTTCATAATTTTTTTTTTTTAACATGTCAGCCATCTCCCACTGAGGCAGGGCGACCCAAAAAAGGAACACTTTCACTATCATTCACACACAGTTACTGTCTTTGCAAAATAGTGATTGTGGTTGAATAATAGTGAAAGTGTTTCTTTTTTGGGTCGCCCTGCCTCGGTGGGAGACGGCCTATGTGCTGAAAAACAAAAAACATTAATAATTAGTTTTTACTTGTTTCTTAATGTGGAAGTCTTTTACAACATCTTAAAATGTTTCTCCAGAAGCCTTTATGGTAACACTTTAAGTGTTGCCCTAAAGGAAGCATCTTTCAAGATCCTATTAGTACACCCAAAATGTTATTTAACTTGCATAGCAATACAACCTACCTTGGAAAGAGACAGCTTGTGTTAATTTTTTTTTATGTGAAATACATTTTGTGAAGGAAAAATTTTTTTTTTTCACATGTATTTATATACTTTTCTCAATACATAAGAATTTATATTTCTCACATGTATTTATACCTTTATTACAATATCTACAAAGTTATTATAGTAAACAAATTCCAGAAGAGGCAACAATAAACTTCAATAGTTACATAAACTCAACACAAGTATGTTAATAAGCCCTTTTCAAAAGGTGCAGTCTAATCCAACCAGTGACTTCACCCACCATGTGGTGTGTCATTAACTGTCCAGAATCTTTACCAGTGCTCGAGCTATAAACTTAAAGAGTTCATAACTGAGGAAACAGCATTCTCCCATCAATGTTATAACTGTTACAAAAAAGGCTAAGGTGAATCAATACAATTAACATCTCTGCTTTCAAGTAAAAATATAAACTTGAGAATTTACTACAAAATAATTAGCCTTAGGCTTTGAGGTAATGTTAGGAAGAACTACATAATGTGCATAGTGACCAAGTGTTGACACCTTGATACAGCAAAACATCATTCAAAATAGAGTCTCAGTTACACAGTTACTTTCATACTCTTAAAAACTGTTTCCTTAAATTTTACCACATTAACTGTGACTCAATAGCACATTAATGACCACTGTTTAGGTAGATGTACAACAGATGTGCAAATGATCTAAAAAAGAAGAGAAAAGACATTTTTAAATATTTCTACGAGTGGAAGCTGCTGTATGACCCTTTCTAGTTTAATGTTTCACTTTATTGTATTAAGATCTGAACCAGTGTAATAATACAGCTTGATCCAGGAGGAAGGGGGCACAGAGATGACAGTAGAGAAAAAGTCATGTTCTAGCTCCTAGTTCCACCTCTTAAATGATACCCTTATGATTATATTACTGGTTAAAAATTTACTGATTAATCTGGATGAAAATTCTCTAGCAGTTTCAGGCCGATTATGTTATCTAAATTACAAAATTTCACTCTGATCCGAGCTATTAACCTTTTATTTTTTATATTTCCTAAATTGTCTGTCATAACCAATATACTCCTTGGCACAAAATTTAACACAGCTCATGCGTGTTATAAAATTAGAGCATTGGACAATGTACTAGGAAAGGCAAGCAGGAACAGACACAAATCTTAGACTAAGAGTCATGTTAATTTGTGAAGGCCAGAAGCAGGATGGATAGCTTTGAGAGAGAGCCAACTAAGGGGATAGCTATGGTCTCTTAACATTGCAGAGAAGAGCATTGTTTGGGTTGACGAGGCAAATGTTTGATAATGTCCTGATAACTAGTCATCACAACTGGTTACCATCTAATGAACTGTTATTGGAAAACATATTAATGTGCAACACATTTTCTTCTTGTTTACTGCCTTCTAACTGGTCATACATTACAAATTAAAATTAGCAATTGGAAAATAAAATATAACATATTTATATAATGCAAAAATTGCTTCACTCATTGTTCACAGAATTTGTTTCAGCTTCACTCATTGTTCACAGAATTTGTTTCAATGTCTGCCACCACAGCAGGTACCCCTGCAATATCTACAAAGGTGGTAAATTTTATTTAGTGGCTTGATGCAGACCAAAAGAAACTTTTTTCTTATCTTCAGTGATGTCTGCTTGTAAACTGGGCAAAATCTTTCATTTTTTTTTGACATTTGACAACCGGATATGGTTTGTACCTAGACACTTCTACTTAAAAATCTGATAACTATCTGACGCATCATCTAGTGTTCAGTTTGCCTAGTTAAACTAGAATACTAGTGCCTCAAATTCTTTAGAATTATATACTGGGCCATAAACACACTGAGAAATTAACAAGACAAATTAAAAATTTCCAAGCTTGCTTTGATGGATGGGACAATAATATTCTAAAGATAGTAGTACATGTATATGTGAAAAAATAAATGTACATATCTAGATTGCTGTTATCTTACTAAGAGTATAGTAACCTTTTCTGAAGTTTAATCAAACATTTTTACATTTGGCTCCTTAATTTATAACTTGGTAATTATTAATATTCATATTATTTTTAACAAACTGAAAGCTTTACCCTGTGTGGGTAAAACTGCTGAAGAACTTATGAAGTGTGTCAATGCTTTCAAGAACACAAGTCAATCTAAAAGAAAATTTTATGCCATAGCATACAAAGTCCTTTATAGATTCAATTACATAATCTACACAGTTATCAAGTTTGATACTGTGATAATAATAGAGGTTGGTCCAGTTGCAAAGAAAAGAATGAGAAACAGACCAAAAATTTGATTGAGGCAGAAAGAATCACGACCTTGCTTGGCATATTGTAAATACAGGACAATGAGTAAATTCCAAGTAACAGGAATAATGAAGGGCAGATCTGAAAAAAAAAAATCTGTCAGCTAAAAAATACTGTCATGCTGGAAGAAAAGAACATATTGAAATAATGATAAAGTATTTTAATGCAAACTTTAAAACTCACGGTGGCAGCATGGAAAAGATGCACATTATGTAAAACCATTTACTGTATATGAAAAAAGCAATAAGACAGCACAGATCTTAATATAATATCACATTTACATTGAGTTCTGCTGCTGACTGCTTGCATTAGTTAGGTAGACTCTGAACAAGTACTAATGCTACACAGGTAACTATTAATTCCAACAACTTTCCTCTAAAAGGAAAGAAAAAATTACTATTTCTTTTTGCGGCCTCGCTTTTTCTTTTCTGGGGGAGCACCACGCTGTTTGTGTTGTGATAAGCAACGCGGACAATACCAGTTCACGTCATCATTAGGTGGGACTTGAATGCCTACACAAACCCTGAAAATTTAAACATCATTACATTAGTACATTTTTAATAGAGGGATGTTTCCCCTCCCCTCCCAGGATGCCACCCATAAATCAACAAATGAAATCCTTGCCAACATTCACTGCTAGGTGAATGTTGGCAGCAGGTGTAAGGACTTATTTACTGTTACGCAAACATGCACAGCAGGTGTGAGGAGATTTCTCAACTTACATAAATAATTTAGGGCATGTTTTACAGCTAAAAGTATCTATCACCATGCAATCAATGTGTTCCAGGAAAAAGAGTGTGTAATTTGAAATCTACAGTGAGACCAGCAATACAACAATTATAATCCCCAGCAATACAACAATTATAATCCCCAGCAATACAACAATTATAATCCCCAGCAATACAACAATTATAATCCCCAGCAATACAACAATTATAATCCCCAGAGAAAGAGAAACAAAATATTTATATGTAATGCATTTGACTTCAATGAAAACCTTCCTACTTGCAAATGTTTTTAAATTATAAAAAATTAATATTGTTGCTTTATGTATATGAAAACTTAAGAACTTGATCAAAGTTGACAACAAGATTCACTTACCAGTGGTACCAGTCATCACAAGTATCGCAACCAATCATGGGAGAACCGTCGTCCTGTTTACCACAAGTGGGACATATCCAAACTTCATTACCCTGGTCATCCTGTAAGTGTGTACACTGTATATACATATTTATACCATATTCAGTCAAATATACAAAACATACAAAAAAAATATTCTTTATGCATTTTTCCATGTTCATGAAATAGGTAACACTCAATGCAGGAAAAATACCCTATACTACAAAGAAAAAATATAACTAGAAAATTATAAGCAAAATTATCAAAATGTTTAAATCCTTGTATCACAATTTTTTTTAACTCATCAGCCATCTCCTGTGAAGACAGGGTGACCCAAAGAAGAAGAAAACAATCAGCATCATTCATTCAACTGCCATCATTTCAGAAGGGTGCTGACATCACAATTAGATTATTCTACAACTGCAACATCCCCACCCCTCCTACAGTGTGCAGGAACTGCCCTTCCCATCTCCAGGACTCAAATTCAGCTAACCAGCAAGTCCATTAAATATTACTTGTCTCCACTCACTACTATCTAACATGCTCACACAAGTCTACTGGATGCTGAAGCCCCTAAAATTCAGTCTCTTTTTACTCCCTCCTACCAACCATTCCTGGGATGACGCCTACTCCACCTACCTTCCACTCAAGATTTGTACACTCTCTTCATAGCCCTATCCCTCTCCATCCTCTCTATTTGCCCAAACCACCTCAACACTCCTTCCTCAGACCTCTGAATTATATCCTTGATAACTCCACGTCACTATTTAATTTCAACACTCTGAATTCTCTACGTAACATTCACACTATACACTGTACTCAAACATGACATCTCCACTGCCTCCAACTACAGCATTCAAACCCGATGCGTCACATCCATATATAAGTGTTGGTACCACTATACTCTGACACAATCCCTTTTTGCCTTCAGAGATAAACTTTTCTCTTTCTACAGATACTTCAGCATACCACCCACCTTTATCCCCTCATCTATTATATGATTCACCTCATCTTCCATAGATCCATCTACTGATATGTCTACTCCCAAACACCTAAATACATCCACTTCTTCCATATGCCCTCCCTTCCCTCTAATATTCAATATATCATTGCCTAGACTTTTAGATATCCTCATCACATTTATTAGGCCTAACAGGCAATTAGCAGTCAAAATGCTAGCAAAATATAGTTTCATTTTCATTAGGGGGAAATGCTAAACCTGCAGGGGTCATACAGCGCTTGGAGAGTGGGAGGTAATCAAGTTAAAGCCAAGGTAAGGATTAAAAGAAGCAAAGTATGAAGAACAATAATAAAATTCAAATTAGATGTAATGTGGATAAATAATAATTTTTATGGATCACATGAAATTATATCCCTCTGCCCCTTTCCTATCTGAAAAATACAGAAAAACAGTTAAATAAAATTATGAAAATGTTTAAACAGGCTAGGTAAAGTAAACTATTTTATATTACGTAATTTCTTTTTTTCCAACAAGTCAGCCGTCTCCCACCGAGGCAGGGTGACCCAAAAAGAAAGAAAATCCCCAAAAAGAAAATACTTTCATCATCATTCAACACTTTCACCTCACTCACACATAACCACTGTTATTGCTGAGGTGCCTAGAATACAATAGCTTAGAAGCATATACGTATAAAGATACACAACATATCCCTCCAAACTGCCAATATCCCGAACCCCTCCTTTAGAGTGCAGGCATTGTACTTCCCATTTCCAGGACTCAAGTCCATCTATATAAAAATAACTGGGTTCCCTGAATCCCTTCACTAACTATTACCCTGCTCACACTCCAACAGCTCGTCAGGTCCCATATACCATTTGTCTCCATTCACTCCGATCGAACATGCTCACGCACACTTGCTGGAAGTTCAAGCCCCTCGCCCACAAAACCTCCTTTACCCCTTCCTTCCAACCTTTTCGAGGACGACCCCTACCCCGCCTTCCTTTCCCTACATATTTATACGCTCTCCATGTCATTCTACTCTGATCCATTCTAAATGACCAAACCACCTCAACAATCCCTCTTCAGCCCTCTGACTAAAACTTTTATTAACATAACACCTTCTCCTAATTTCCACACTCCGAATATTTTGCATAATATTTACACCACACATTGCCCTCAGACAGATCTCCACTGCCTCCAACCTCCTCCTCCCTGCAGCATTTACAACCCAAGCTTCACACCCATATAAGAGTGTTGGTACTGCTATACTTTCATATATTCCCTTCTTTGCCTCCATAGATAATGTTTTTTGTCTCCACATATACCTCAACACACCACTTGCCTTTTTTCCCATCATCAATTCTATGATTAACCTCATCCTTCATAAATCCATCCACTGACACGGCAACTCCCAAATATCTGAAAACGTTCACTTCTTCCATAATCCTCCTCCCCAATTTGATATCCAATTTTTCTTTATCTAAATCATTTGATACCATCATCACCTTACTCTTTTCTATGTTCAGTTTCAACTTTCTACCTTTACACACACTCCCAAACTCGTCCTCTAACCTTTGCAATTTTTCTTTAGAATCTCCCATAAGCACAGTATCATCAGTCAACAAGTGCCTTAGCAAACCTGTGCAAACTATTATATAAATATGAGGTGATATTGTAGTTCAAAGGGTCATTTTGAATTGTGTTATCCATACACTTCTGACAAGACAAGCTGCTGAATGAATGAAGGTGAATGTTTCAGTTTTTGTGTCAGCTTACCTTGGTGGGAGATAGCTGGTAGTGTAGTAAAAAATTTGAGCAAGGTTTAGTTAAGACTAATTTGGGTGCATAAATACAATGGAACCTCAAATATCGAACTTTCTTCGGTCCAGAAGGCTGTTCGAGTGCCTTTACCGAATGAATTTATTCCCATCAGGAATAATGTAAATTAGATTAGTCCATTTCAGACCCTCAAAAATACACTTATAAAAGCACTTACAAAAATACATTTACATAATTGGTCATGTTGGGAGCAGTTCGATTTTTGAGGTTCCACTGTAGATTGCCACACAAAATGTATGTAATTATAATTAACATTTTATTATGGGGGGAATGCTGATTCTCCATTTCAAAGAAGTATAACTTGACCAGGTAGAAAACAATTTTTTTTTTTCCAACAAGTCGCCCGTCTCCCACCGAGGCAGGGTGACCCAAAAAAGAAAGAAAATCCCCAAAAAGAAAATGCTTTCATCATTCAACACTTTCACCACACTCACACATAATCACTGTTTTTGCAGAGGTGCTCAGAATACAACAGTTTAGAAGCATATACGTATAAAGATACACAACATATCCCTCCAAACTGCCAATATCCCAAACCCCTCCTTTAAAGTGCAGGCATTGTACTTCCCATTTCCAGGACTCAAGTCCGACTATAAGAAAATAACTGGTTTCCCTGAATCCTTTCACTAAATATTACCCTGCTCACACTCCAACAGATCGTCAGGTCCCAAGTACCATTCGTCTCCATTCACTCCTATCTAACACGCTCACGCAGGCTTGCTGGAAGTCCAAGCCCCTTGCCAACAAAACCTCCTTTACCCCCTCTCTCCAACCCTTTCGAGGACGACCCCTACCTCGCCTTCCTTCCCCTATAGATTTATATGTTTTCCATGTCATTCTACTTTGATCCAATATAATATATACAGAACACACTTCACTGTATGTTAATTTCATGATTTCCATTTACTGAGTGAGGAAATCCACCAGGAAAAGATGAAATATTATACAAGAGGTGAACTGAAGAAATGCCTGCTCTTCAATAGTAACCTTCATGCTTAGCATCACATTAATCTAGCAAAATACTTACAGCAGGTTTTCAGCAATTTTAAAAGTCAAAAATGAACTGTCACAGAAATTAATCACCCACTTTTACTGCTCAGTCTTGATGAATGCCAATCCCCGAGCATTTTTCTACACATATACAGTAAACCCTCTTATATCACAAACTTACGTTGTCAGATTTTATGTAAATGTGACCGAGATGACATAACCAAAATTTTACAACATAAAAAAAATCTTGATATTACTCTCTATAAATTTAAAAATTAAGAAATATGTGAAATTTAATAAGTATACACTGCAGATTTTTCAGTTGCCTTGCCTGGCCACATGCAGTGCCTCCCAATCCACAGTCTACCACAGTTCTTGCTAAGCAAGCACAAGTCAGACCACTAAACAACATAATTCTTACATAACCAATGTTTTCCAAGATTTATGTAACTTATGAATGCTTAATTTATATAAAAACACCCTGCCTCGGTGGGAGACGGCCGACTTGTTGAAAAAAAAAAAAAAAAACCTATATAATAAACAGTCTGAAGAGACTACTGAGTGCATTAATACCAAGAATCCACAAAAGTTCAGATTACTTTATTATAATGGCACACTCCCATCCTTTAAAGTTAACAGTGACACAGCAACTCTAGTTGTACTTCTACAATGGTTGAACATGTTGGTAAATGATACGAGTGAATAAGTATTTAAACAAATTTAGGTGTGTACTGACCACAAAGTGACCAATTGGCCCAACCGTCTCTGTGAGGAGCCCCGTACTTTTTTGCTCTTGTTTTTTACTAGTCTTGGGTGTATCTGGTGGTGGGGAGACTACAGGTACCGATGTAGGAACCACTTGGGGAGGGAAGGATAAATCAGTACTACTTCCTCCAACCATTCCTGCTGTGGGACTGCTGAGTACTGGTGTCACAGCAGTTGGCATGGGAGTGGGCTGGGCTTGCTCTTTTGGTTTCTTCTCTTTCTTTTCCTTCTTTTCACGCACTTTTTTACTTCCTGGAAAAGAAAATCTTATTTGAGATCTAAATTACTTGTTTTTAAATGACAATAACATAAGCAAAGACAAACTTTAAGAACTTGTTTACAAATGCATATTTCCTGTAATTTCATATTTGTAGTTAAAGGACCACATGCACACACACACACACATACACCAAAAATTAAATAAACAAAATGAACTAAAAATAGAATACTAAAAAATTAATATATACATGTATACGTACATATTTTTTCAAAACACTGGCCATCTTCCTCAGAGGTACGTTGACCCAAAAAATAAACACTTTCACCATCATTCACACTATCAGTCTTGCCAGAGGCATGCAGATAAGATAGTTCAGATGTCCCTTCAAACAGCAAATATCTCTAACCCATCCTTTAGAGTGCAGGCACTGTACTTCCCATCTCCAGGACTCGAGTCTAGTTAACTGATTTTCCCGAATCCCTTCACAAAATATTATATTTTATGTATGTGAGCATGCAGCACACGAGACAACAAAGTATTACCTGGTGACTTCTTTTCCTCCGGAGGCTTGGGCATTGGTGGAGGCTTGGGCAAGGGTGAAGGCTTGGGTACTGGGGAAGGCTTGGGAATAGGTGAAGGCTTGGGCATGGGTGAAGGCTTGGGTACAGGTGAAGGCTTGGGCACGGGCGAAGGCTTGGGCATGGGTGAAGGCTTGGGCATGCTCAAAGGCTTCGGTGTGGTGGGCAGCTTAGGTGCAGGCGGCTGTTTTGGAGTGCTCGGAGGTTTTGTCACAGGTTTGGGTGTTGGCGGTGGCTTAGATGGAGTTGTTGACGGAGTCTTAATTTTGAGAGGTGGCACCTCTTTTGTGTCTTTGGCTTTGGTCTGGGAGTGACTGGGTTCCTTGCCTTCTTTTTGCTTGGTGGTTGTATTCTGGACATCTTTAATCTTCAAAACAGGCACAACTGGTGGGGACTCTCCCTTTTTCTGTTGGCTACGTGGAGGTCTTGTTATAAGGGCAGAGAACTTGGCAATCTCAGGTGAGCCAGGCTGGTCATCGTGGGTACCTGATGGGACGGACGCGGGCTTGGTAGCTGGCGTTTCTTCTTCGCGTTTTACAACAGGCTTGATCACTCTGAAGGTAAAAAGGAAATAAAGATGACAAATATAATTTTGTTTAAAGAAGACTACATACACTTGCATGCTTACAATCATAAGCCAACCTGTCTCAAAATGAGTCAGTCACTTTAATAATACAAAAAGGAACACTAAAGCAATAATGTACTTACAATGTGTTAAATTTGCAGTAATTATTTACATGAACATTAACAGAACACTGAATATATCTTACTGCTGAGTAAATATTTTTTATACTGGTTTATTTTTAGAGTATTAATTTATTATAAACACCCATGCCCAATAACCATTACCATAATACAATATCAAAGAGTCAAAAAATTTGATGCAAACCATATTCTAGTAAACACTAAAATACGAAAAAATTCAGTACAACATAAAACATCTTTATATGAAAACTATGAATTCATTTTAAAAAGATGGTAAATCTATAAGCTTGAGTTTGCCAAAAATATTGCTCACATTAACATTGCTAATATTTTATATTAAGTGCAATAATCAAAGGAATCATGCTACTTCTAAGAAATTTATCTAATATAATGTATAGTGTATAAATAATATATATATATATATATATATATATATATATATATATATATATATATATATATATATATATATATATATATATATATTTATATATATATTTATTATATATTTATATATATTTATATATATTTATATATTATATATATTATATATATTATACAATATATATACAAATATATACATTCACACTATATACATATTTTATAATTGTTAAGAATATATGGAATATATAAAATATTAAGATGCATAGGAAAGCTAAGAAGAGAGTTAACTGCAGGTCTCAGGAAGATGAAAAACCAGCTTTCTAAATTACAGTACTGTATATAAAAAATACTAATGACATGGCACAACCTCCAGGGGCATTCCTCCAAACACTACAGTAGAAGCCTCTTACCACCACTACAAGATGAACCAGCCAAGTTCATGCCTGATGCCAGCCACTACACTACAAGGAACACTTGCACGTCCAGGGGATGCCTCACAAGAAGCTAAGACAGGAAAAAAGCTCCCACAAGAAAGACTTATACATACTTGACGTTTAAAAAATGAGAAGCTCCTACTACTGGCAATATTCCAATACCAGTTGTTGTGTGACTTGTAATACAAAGCGAGAAAATTATTCAATATACGTATATTATTAATTGAAAAGCCAGAAAAAGCAAAAAGACCCCACTAACAGAGAGAACCCTATGAAAGGCAAGCATACACAATATTTGATCCTTTTAAACTAAGGCCTTCCTTGTTCTGAATGTTCCTATTGTAACAGCATGGTTATTAACCTCAGCTTGTTAACACTGGCTCTGGGATAAAAAAAAAATAAAAGAAAAAAAAAAGCTCAATAGCTTTATACAAGCAGGCAAAATAATCACTATTAACACATCAATTAAAAAAATCAATAACAGCTGAATATTATTCTTCAGTAAAAGAAATGAGTTGTAGAAGACAGTCTGGAAAGTAAAAGTGACAGTGGATGTCAGTATGAAGGAAGATGGAGAATTTTAAAGGTGGGAGGAGAGATGAATAAATAAGATAAAACAAATGGGAAGGCTTGGAATAAAATCAGAGAGAATTTTGTATGTGAAATGAGCTGTAGAAACCAGGACAAACATTCTGTAACATGTCCTGAGCTATGTTGTAGTGTTGAGAGATTCATTAGGAATTGTTAGGTAATGAGGGAGAAGGTAATGTTTCCTGGCTTGCCTTAGCCAACTTTACACTCATTTTTCTGTTTTACTACGACAAGATATTGCGGATAAAATACAGCTCTACTACACTGTTGAGTGAAATCTAAACACTTTTCCCAGTCTAACTGAACTTTCACTTTACCTGGCCCCAATAAACCCATCACTGACCACCATTTCTTTTTACTCATTACTACTGGAGTCCTACTCTAGCCCATTAAATGTGATGCATGTGTAAATTTTGAACAGGAAAAATTAGAGAAAACCCATAAAAAGTTATAAAAGTTGATAAAACCCGAGGCAAAACCCCTGGAGCGTGAGGCATACGTAACTACGTACTGGTTTAAAAGTGAAGTGCAAAACAAAGTGATGATGTTACCGATATATCTAGTGTGGCAATCCCAGGTCCTGTAGGGTTTACTCTGCCAGGGTATTATCCTGAAGTTTTTTTCTGAAGCCTCTCCTGCTATCTCTTTACTGCCAACTACAGCAGCTTCTCTCTCACTCTCACTCCCTTTCACTCTACTCTGTCGAACACTTGCTCCTTCCCTCACGGGATGGGATCTCCTTGACAATGAGTCCTGTGTCAGGGCTCTCACTATTTTTTTAAACAAAAAATGTACTGTATATGTAATTAATAAAGTGTTTTTCCACAAAGTTTCACAGAAGAGTCCTGAGTTAAGTGAGATCAGGTACAGGTTAAGTAATGGTAATGTTTGTTCCACACATTTTCACCATATTTTCACTTATGTAACAGATATTTCTTGTCCACAGAGACATTCTCCACTATTTTCATGCTCCACTACTTGACGGCTGAATGTTTTTTTCTGTTCTTACGTGCCAAGACACTGGAACAAGACGGTGTGTGAGGGTGAGAAGGTGAAGTGATCAACACGACAAATAGAACATACTGGTGCAAGTCATTCCCAAAACACATTCACTACAATGGCACCAGCCTAATCAACCTATTATACGGTAACCTACTCAAGTAATCAATACAACACATATACTTCAACACATTATCACAATAATTAAGGATGGAGAAAATATATAATGATGTGCCACAATTTGTGAAACAAGCGACAATCACTTTATTTAGAGCAGTGTAACTGCTGGGTGCTGCAAACACTGTAGTTTTGGCAGCTCTACAGGCCTAGGTAATTACTATACTATTAAAATACTGTACAGTATTTGGAAAGTACAGGAAATTTGGAAAGGAATTATTAAATCAATACTGATGAAAAATGGCAATACATGTAAGCCTATGATATGTTTTCTTTTCATGATCTGTTTTGACAGCTGCCAAACAATAACACCAACACTAAATGGATATGAAATTTATTAGCTAAACTTCAGCTGTAACAAAATAATAAAAAGTATTAATAATAATATTTATGATTTATGATATTCACTTAACAATGTAATGACATAAAAACAAAATCCAAATTTTCCCCATCACAGTACAACATACTACACACCATTAAAACATACAATAGTATCAATATCTCTCAGCTTACAGTACACAGCTACTGCTTAACCATCTGTGGGACAACTATGCTTTTATAGATTCACCAAGAAGCATTAAACCCAAAGAGGTCATGCAGCACCTAGGGAATAGGAGGTAATCAGATCTGATGCAAAGAGAAACGCCAATCCCTTGGATCACGAACCTTTACCAGCATCAAAACATTCCCCTTGATGGGCACTTCCTCTATAGATGTATCAACTGTCTACCAAGCTCACTTCTCATCCCAGTAAAACAGGAAAAAAAGTAGTGGACTTTATATATTTCCTCAAATCCATCCATAATTCTAAAACTATTGTAACTTAAATTTTAACTATATACTACAAATTAATATTCTTTAATGTTTATGCAGGTGTTTCCTGCTCATTTGCCCCGTCCCCCTACTACACTACCATAATTAATTCCAATAAAAATTATTTTTCAAAAAATTTGTTCTTACAAGCTCTTTATCAGTGGCATTTCTAAAATAAGTTCTGCAGCACTAGCTTCTTCACCCGTTTTACTTTTATTATATACAAAACATTTTTTCCTTATATTTTGCTCTCATTCTGCATCCACAGGATCCACTTTTCCCTTGCCATCAACTGCTCTTTTTATTTTCTCATGTCTATCATGAAGTATTTCATATCAGGCCTTAACCAAACTGTTAAATACTACACAACTGCTTTGCATTATTAAATAAACAACCCTTTCAATGACCCTATGTTACAATACTTCTATCTGCCTGACTTGTCCATCTACCTCTATCTCTGAACACTTTGTAAAAAATTAGAGATTGCAACAGATGCAAAGAGAGTGGAGCAAACCAAGAGGGACTGACATATGGTCCCAGAGAGGAACCACAAATGGGAAAGTAGTGGCCCTATAACTCTCTTTTAACCCTTTGACTGTCGCGGCCGTATATATACGTCTTACGAGGTACCGTGTTTGACATATATATACTCATAAATTCTAGCGGCTTCAAATCAAGCAGGAGAAAGCTGGTAGACCCACATGTGAGAGAATGGGTCTGTGTGGTCAGTGTGCACCATATAAAAAAAATCCTGGAGCACGCAGTGCATAATGAGAAAAAAAAACTCCGACCGTTTTTTTTAATTAAAATGCCGACTTTGTGGTCTATTTTTGTATAGTATTTATGGTTGTATTCTCGTTTTCTTGGTCTCATTTGATAGAATGGAAAACATATTATAGAAATAGAGGTGATTTTGATTGATTTTAATATAAGAAAAACCTAAAAATGGAGCTCAAAGTAGGGGAAATGTTTGATTTTTGCCAATGTTCTAAAGTAAACAAATGATGCCATTGTCCAATAAATGTCCAACTAGCCATTCTAATATGCAGTCATGAATGGGTTGATGTTATTTATACAATTATTACAGTATTGCAGTAATCTGCATAATAGTAAGTCTTCAATTTTTTGTTTGAATAAAAATTCAAAATAGAAAGCAAGAGTAATATCAGAGGGGCCTGGACACATGACTGATGAGCAAAGAAAATGTTATTTAAGAGCCAGGAATGTCTGCATTGTTCATTCTGGACCTTATTTTGAAATTGTCATATTTTTTAGTTTTCGTGAAATTGGCCAAATTGCAAATTTCTGACCACATTATTAGGTAGTTGAAATCGGTAATGGACAGTTTCTTGTACTCAATCGATAGAAAAAATGGAGTTCTAAAGAAATAGCTATGAGTTTGGGCGACTGGAACAATGGAATTAGCCGAAAATTGGGCTCAAAGTGGGCGAAATCGCCGATTTGTAAACAGCGCCGAGGTCGCTAACTTCGCGAGAGCATAATTCCGTCAGTTTTCCATCAAATTTCGTTTTTTTTTGGTGTCATTACAATCGGGAAAAGATTCTCTATCATTTCATAAGAAAAAATAATTTTTTTTTTTAAATTTTGCAACACCAGGAGACACCTCAGGATTGGGGGTTGTGACAGTCAAAGGGTTAAAGAGGCATCTATGATGATAAAAATAGAAGCCACTGGCAGCAAATTTGGGTAACAACCACTGATTTTAGTACCCCAAGCAGGTGACTGTTATAGAGCATATAGACTGCCATAACTCACGTAGTGTCTTTTTCTTCCTAAACTCTTGCATAATAAATATGAATGATCTTAAGTAACTCTCAAATGCAGTTACTTTGAAAGGATTACTCAAGGATATGGACAACCAACAAATATAAATTATATATATAAATGTAATTCAATTCCTGTTCTGATCAATGCTTACTCAAAGTTTTCAACATTAACTGCATTAATGTTTAATGTATGCAGCCATGTTTATAACATTATCCATTTTACCAAAAATAATTGCTCAGCATTTATCATTGAGAGAAAAAGTATACAATAAAAAAGCAGACAAAAGAAGATAAAAAAGAAAGACTGAAGGAGGATGAGATAAAGAAAATAAAGAGGAATAAATAAAAGGGAGCGGAGAAAAACATTAAAATAGGAGAGAGAAGTTCAATTCTTCAGCTCATTTTAATAATTTAATGAATTTTTGTCCTGTGCACTTTAACAGTCTCCAGGACAAAAATTCATTAAGTTGTTAAAATGAGCTGAAGAACTGAACTTCTGCAGCCAATTAGTAGGACAGAGGCCTTAAACCCTGAAATAAAATGATGGTTCTTTCTTTGAAAAATGTAACCTGACCAAGAGCAGCCTCAGGAGTGATGAACATTAATGCATTCATATAGATCACCCTCAGTGGAGACATTTTGGTCTTGGACCTTGAGCATTTCAAATACACAAAGGGATCAAGGTCCAAGAATTGAAGCTTCTTCGATAAAGCTGTCCGTAGTGAATTCATTCATGCCCATTTCCCTTAACTTGTCAGCAGTCATTTGCCTTCTTACTACATCCTAATGGACACATGATGGGAGTGATA